CTCAAAGTGTTTGTCTTCGGTGTAATTGTGCCATCCTTGCGTGTCGTGTTGAGAGTGCCCTTTCTGAAATCTACATCACACCTGACCGCATCTCACGATATCTGAATAACTATCGATTAACGGTCACTAATCTCTACACGTTTCGATCTTTATTTAGAAATCGTGAGATGCGGTGTGATGTAGGTTTCAGAAAAACATTTTCTTTATCGTGCCAACGTTTCGATCTTTATTGAGATCATCTTCAGGGCCTGGGATTTACAAACATTGTTTNCCTGAAGATGATCTCAATAAAGATCGAAACGTTGGCACGATAAAGAAAATGTTTTTCTGAAACCTACATCACACCAGACCGCATCTCACGATTTCTGAATAATTGCCAAGAAGTGTACAGGACAAACTTTGAGTAATAAGTTATTAAAAAGGTGAATCGACATACTCATCCACCCTTCATAATTATTAATCTAATCATATCATTGAAAATTTATTGTTTGCAAATAAAAACTGAACATTATTATTTATAAAATGTGCGAAAAGTAAAAATAGAAGTAGCCAGAGTATATTTGTATTATAAAACTAGGCAAATGTTATAATAATAAAGAAGAAAATAAAAAACATAAATAGCTTTACACGGTTGTTTTTCAGTTCGCAGGGTTTTAAAACATAATTTAAATAATTTTGTATGAAATCTTTCGAAAACTGGAAAAAAAATATTTCGCCCCCGGGTGGGCTCGAACCACCAACCTTTCGGTTAACAGCCGAACGCGCTAGCCGATTGCGCCACGGAGGCCACACTTGCCAACGCGCTTACAACGCTACATCAACCGATCCGAATTAAATCATTACATTGATCATGAGATCATAGCCGAGCGGATTCGCGTCCGATCAAGCGGCCCGGCCGGTCTCGCTCATTAACCGGCGGCTCATTCGTACAGTCGTAGGAAATATGAAATCTCCCCCGACGAAGATGGGATCACGCATAATCTCTATCGATTTATCGGTCTGCCCGTTCCGTTTCACCCTTTCTTCTTCTTAATTTATTTATAAGTAATTTCTGTACCGACTCATTCTCGACCGGACACTCTTTCAATTCGACTTCAAATGCTATACGTTTGCCCTGGTGAGTAAACAGATTTTTTTTTATTTGTGAGTCCGCAACGCCGGGAGTAGAAAACGATGGCCGGCCAGTTCAGTTTATAACATTATTTGTTTCCGTTCTTATTTTTGTTTTTCCGTCGAATTTAATTAACTTAAAGTTGGTGATGAATCGGTACCAAGGCGGACAATTTTGCCTGCAAAATAGTCAACGTTCCAAAGTTTGTCCGTTTATAAAATGCATTTGTTCTTATGAAATTTGTGTTTCAAGGCCGTTTTATTTAGGATAGGCCATACCCGATATTGTAATGGCGGATGACAGTTTTTGACGAAAGGGTTCAGATGATGGGACAGTTTGTTATGGAACTGCTTTTACGTAACAGTGATGACTTCGCAAAAACATTATATCATCAAGTACCACAAAAACTATATCTGGGCTAATAAAAATTTTCTCAAAGGAAGTGGGGACAGAATGTACACGGATATCACAACATAAAAAATGCACTTAGAAGAGTATATAACGTTCACCAAAATTCGAGTGTTTCTATCTCAGAATAATCTCACAACATTCGTGGGCCTGTGGTATTTGCACACGATTAGTGGTGAAGTAAAAGAAACTTATCAATCAGCTTGCGAAAAAGACTTTTAGAAGATGATGAGAATTGGGAAAATACTTTTGGAGATGCCGTGATTTCTCAATCGTTCTTTCAATTGAAAATTTTTTCGCATTTCCTATAAAACGATCTTTTGTTTATAACAAATACTGTGTGGCGCTGGCCCGAGGAGAGAAGGAGAGAGATGAAACAAGAGAGGAATGACTAGGAAGGACTACGCGGGAATTTTGAAGGGTACCGGGTGAAGACAGGACTTTTTTTGGGAGCTGATTATCTGCACTAAATCAGACATCCTTGGCCTAGGATCATACAAGAGGACTCTTTTCAACATCGGAGACCAATATTCAAAAATAGCATTTCCTCGAGGCGAAACAAATTTTCTTCTTAACTTCCCTAATTAGTTCCCTAATTAAAATTAATGTGTAGAGATTATTGACCGTTAATCGATAATTATTCAGATATCGTGAGATGCGGTCTGGTGTGATTAGGTTTCAGAAAAACATTTTCTTTATCGTGCCAACGTTTCGATCTTTATTGAGATCATCTTCAGGGCCTGGGATTTACAAACATTATTAACATTTAACAAATACATTTAGGAAGTGGAAAAGTGAATTTATACAATGCAAAATATATTCTACATTCAATCAAAGTATTTCTACTCACTCAAAGTGTTTGAGTTTTGTGAGTAGAAATACTTTGATTGAATATAGAATATATTTTGCATTGTATAAATTCACTTTTCCACTTCCTAAATGTATTTGTTAAATGTAAACAATGTTTGTAAATTCCAGGCCCTGAAGATGATCTCAATAAAGATAGAAACGTTGGCACGATAAAGAAAATCTTTTTCTGAAACCTACATCACACCAGACCGCATCTCACGATATCTGAATAATTAAAATTAATATAAGAAATTCAAAAGGATACTATTTATAGTGTGTGGAGATTAGTGACCGTTAATTGATAATTATTCAGAAATCGTGAGACCGCATCTCACGATTTCTGAATAACTATTTATAGTATAGCAAGCACGTATGTACATAGTTTTCTGAAATTTGCTCATTGCACAAGTACCTTTGTATATTAGGGTTTTGTTTGTTTGTTTAAAAAAATAACAATTTAAGAATCTTGTCATTATTCTAGAATACATTATATCACCGTTTCAAGTACAAGGAAATTTTTTTAAATTAACATATATAACTCCAGCAAGATATTCCCCTTTTTGGACAGAGGGAAAGATCCAATTAAAAAGAAAAGTTTCGAAGATTTTATTTTAATATATTATCAGCACATCTCATAATATGTTATAACGATTAAGGACAAACGTATAAATATGTGGAGTTAGATTTATAGAAAAAATGTTTCTCACACGGACAACTGTATAAATAAAATCTGTACAAACAAAAAATTTGCAATTCATTATTATTTTTTTCTTTTTTTTTTTAAAGAGGCTTCGCAAAGCAGCTTGGGGGCTGATAGGATCCATTGTTGGAATTAACAGGAGGAAAAAAAAACTATAAAACTAAAAACATGAACAGGGAAGATTAGGGGAAAAGAAATTAGGCATGAAAACTGCAACAAAGACAACAAATACAGACAAAGCAACGTCAATCCCGACAAAAACGTTTCACACGTAAACCTTAAATTAGAATTCAATTGTATAAAAAATAAAAATTTTATTGGGTTGATTTTTTAAAACTAAACTAAACAACAACACTCATAATTGAAATAAGCAATTAACAAATTCTTCAAGGAAAATTTCTATATTTTTATAATGAATCGATGAATTTTTGAGTTTGTCGTAGTTTCAAAATTTGTGAAAAAATAGAGTATTATATTTGAAAAAAAGTGGATCACGCTATTAACGTGCTAACTTCATAAAATTCTAATAGCGCTAGCAGATTGCACATGAAAAATCACATTTGGAACCACACTTAGTTTTACAGTAAAGCAAGCAGCACAAAAATGGCCATGTCGTTTATAAAAATTCACACGGTATATTAAATAATGAATACATATATGTATTTGTAGTATAAAATTTACTTTATTATAAAATTTTAAAGGATAGTCTTGTCTAAAATGCAATCACTTTGACATTTTAATAAAAGCGTGGATGGGACCTCAAGAGACATTAAACTTCGTAAAATGCATACCAAGAATGCTATAAACCTTAATTTAAATGAATTGCTTCAAAATGTTTACAAATACATAAAAATTATAAATTGTTAATCCAGTTTTTGGATTAGAAAAATGTCTTGTTTAAAAAAAAAATTCAAATGCATCAATAATTTTTTGACATAATTATTTTCTGTTTTGCCTTGTCTTATAAAGTCTATACAATTATAAATTTTTAATAGCATATTCTGGACTAGAATGAAATCAATTTGAAATTTAAAAAAAGCATGGATTGAAATCATCGCAAAAGACATTAAAACTCGTAGAATGCGTGCCAAAAAGGCTACAAGGGATTGCACACAATGGGTTTAAAAAATTTGAAAAATTGTTATTTTTTAGCGTTCAAAAATGTATTTTTTAAAATATTCATTTAGCACCTAATTATTTTTGGGCAAATAATTGCATGAAACGGATTATTGAATCGAATAGTTTATTATCCAGGGAAGGGTTTTAGCTACGAAATAAAATTACCTAAAGAAAAAATTCCAATAAACCAAATGTAGGGTTATGAATAATTTTTTTTACGAGCCGTAAATATTTTCTGTTTATATTGTTCTGTTTATATTTTTAAAATTTTAATTTAGCATTTAATTACTTTTTAACATATAATTACATGAAAGGTGTACGTTTGAATCGTCCAGTTTATTGCCCTAGAGGATGGTTTTAGCTACATAATAAAATCAACGAATAAAATTTAAAAAAATTGTATGCTTTCGGTTGTTGCCTTGTTTTATAAAGTCGGTACAATATAAAATTTTACTGGAAATGAAATCAATTTGAAATTAAAAAAAAAGGCATGAATAGAAATCATGCTCAAAGAGACATTAAAGCTCGAAGGATGCGTGCCAAAAATGATACAAACCGTAATAAATGAATTGGGATTGTATACAAAATATTAAAAAAAAAATATTTTTTATTTTAATATAGCAACTAATTATTTTTGAACAAATAATGACAGGAAAGGTATTAATGAATCGTCTAGTTTATTGTCCAGAGAAGGGTTTTAGGTTCAAAATAAAATTAAAAAAAAAAAATCACAAAGTGAATATTTTCGGTTTTTGCCTTGTTTTATAAATTCAAAACAATTTTGAAATTTTAATACGATATTCTTGGCTAGAATGAAATCAATTTGCGTAAATGGATATCCACGTGGATACGCAGAGAGACGGAGCCACGGCGACGGACGGCGGACGTCCGCGTCTTCGTCCACATCCGCGGTTCCTTTCTTCTTTTTCGTCCAGATTTTCGCTCGTGTAGAGCGGCGAATTTCCGGGTTTCGGGCGAGTCGGAACAAAGCGGAAACGGTGCCGGCGAAAAATCCATACGGGCCCAGATCGATCGGCGGTATAATTAAGCGGGACGGACGCGGGGAAATTCGGAGCGGGTGCCAGCGGGAAATCCCGGCCGCCGGTTGACCAGCCTGGCCGACGACTCGACTGCAGTATTGAATGACTACGGATCGTGTTGAATGTGAATTCAACCCCATTGCAGTAGTTGACATCGTCCTTTTTGACAGTCGCCTCTTCAGCTCTTTACCTTTCGTCATGCCAGCCCTCCAAGGATCAACGTTCCGATAGCCGCCCTCCTCCCACACGTTATGAATCTCTTCTCACGCGAGGTACCCATTCGAATACCCATTATTTATCTTCATCCCCCGCCTTATCCCGATCCGATTCCAATTTAATAATAATAGGTGCATTATTACTTTTTTTCTTCTCTGTTTTACAACATTCATATATCGTATTCTTCTTATGCCGTATATTTTCGTCCGTTCTAGCCCTCGGAAGTCCCTAGATGTTCCCTTTTTTCGCGACTCACAAGCCGATAGAAAACTTTTCTAGATATTTTTTTCTCAACAATTCAAACACGATTTGAAATTATTAATGGAATTTAATCTTAAAAAGGTCTTTAAAACTCGCGAGACTGACTCGTGTTTTCAAAACTCAAATGACATTTTAACAGAATGCTCAAACAACCAAAGATCAACGTTTTCTCTTGGTTTCTTTTTAATTTGAAGTTTAGACTATTTGTTTTGCTAAACCAGATAAAACAAATAATGCAATGGGAAGTGTGTAATTAACGAATTTTATGTCAATTCATTGGCACTTAAATTGTTCATCAGCCTCTATGGCTCTAGTTTCTATGGCTGATGACATTTTTCAATATTAATAAGCCTAAAACGGTTTATTTTCCTGTTATAGTTGTATATATTGCTTAAGTAAAACCTGCCATTATCAATCATTCATTCATTTTTTTTTTAATTCTGAGGTGCTTGTAGCATTTTTTAGCATGTAGTTTTGACAACTGAAAGCACTTTTCAAAAAGAATAACCTAGTTTAATTTAATTGTAGTGGGTTAAACATAAAACCCAGAGGAGCTTATATCGTTATTCATGCCATAGTTTTCAAAGCTTTTTTCCTTCAGTAGAACCCAAGATTGTAGACAAACCCTCTCCAAGACTGTTAATGTAGTAGTAGTTTATAGAAATCAACATCTTACTTTTCTGACGTTCGGTGAGCTGATTTGTCGTATTGAGGAGTTGAGTGTTGTTTGGCACCAAAAACCTCTGGAACCCCAAAACACCTCAACCCGACAGTGGGTACTCGATCCCTCTTCGCAACATTTTATTTCGGCATGTACAATGTGTCTGGGCTATGTAACATTGTATGAAATGAAAAACATCCCAAAGTGTGCAAATATGCCTTGCCTTCCTGGAAAGTCAGAGGTTTGTGGACGGTCGCAACGGGCCAGCAATGCCTAGACCTCGAGGGAATGTCTCACTCCCCACCATTTCTAAATAACACTTATTTATTTTGCATAAATAAAAGCTTTATTTATTATAAGTATTTTTTATTTCATTTATTTATTACCAACATTTCTTTATTTATAATTTATTTTATTAATATAAATTAATCTTTCTTTAAAGAACATGACATTTCACCCAATGACTATGTAGATAAGCTATCTATGAGGTGTACAAACATTTTTCAATCTGTAGTTAAAAAAACTCACAAAACTAATAAATAACCTACTAATTAATGTCTTCTGTAATACTATTAGAATTATGCAATGTTTCTATCAGTTTTCGAACCTTAGTCCCACGTGCCATTCCTCTAATAAGTCTGTATACAATGCATTCTGACACTCATGACATTTTTAATAGAAACCTAAAATCATTTGTTTTAATAAACTTGTCTCGCCTTTTGTGAACACTGTCGATAAGTGGCTCTTAAAGGACCTGACTCTTAGAAAAAGGATCTTCCCCACCCGAATATGGATAGGCCATGTGAGGTTGACACAGCTTACTTTTGTAACAAAGTCTGCATATGTGTCCGGCATGTAGGGAAAGGTTGCAATTCCTTGGCCCTGTATAGATAGCGCAGGAATGCCGCCCAGTATTAGAATTGTGCTTGAGACTGCAGCAAGTATCTATGTCCCCTGTTCCGATTTTTAGAGGCAACAGGGTAGTTTTGTTGTATGTACTACCGATAATTTTTTGTATGTTGTGTGTGTTGAGAGTAAATGTATTTATTGACGTGAATGTGTGGTGTGAGTGTTATTGTCTTGTTAGATTAGTAATATCTTAGTAATAAGTAGTATCTTAGTAGTAATAGAGTGAGATGGATGTAAATAGGAAAGAATGTATTATGTAGAATGTAAATTGTGAGTGGGTTTGGATTTATGAACTGTTTGAATTGGGGGCTGAAATGACCTAGCTGTTGATAGCTTCTCTCTATCAGCCCAACCTCAAAGGTCAGATGGATAAGACCAATGTGTGACCCTAAACTGCGCCAACACACGGGGTTATTCTTGAGGCCTGCTGATTTATTCTAAATTACAAAAGCTGGAATTGCTGGTTTGGTCATGAGAAGGGCTAGTGCAGATTTGAGCTTATATAAATCTGAAATTATTTCTAGTAAACTTGGATTCTTTTATTTATTTATTTATTTTGTTAGGTGGTTTTGAAAAAAACAACAAAAAAACTTGTATGTCGGGTTGGAATGCAGGCTTGCTGGATTCGAACCCGAAACTTTTACCTTACAGTGATGAGCTCTGTGTCAACGCCTAAACCGTTGCAGCCACCAACACCCCCAATAACCTTGCTATTATTATGCAAAAGACTTCTTAATTGTAGGTTGTTGAAGAATGTTTTTTCAATATGGGCTACATTAAGTTTATAGAAAGTATGAATGATGGAGTGAGTGTGGAGTTCAATTCTTTTATTAAAAAAAGGATTAATTAAGTTTTTTCTAACGTTTTTCAGCTCATAGATTTCAAAATTTATGACTTTTTTAAAATGAAGAAGTTAAGTTTTCTTGTTGTATATTGATTGAAATAGTTAAAATCTATGGAATTAATGTACTCCCTGCATTATGACCATTTTTATTATAGTAGTATTCATTTTGTTAAGGCCACTGTGAGATAAAAAATTCTTTACTAATGGCAAATATTTAGGTTAAAAGAAACAAGGTATTCCATGGTAGTTGACACAACTGGAATACCTTGTTACTTTTAACTTAAAGTTTTGTTATATTGGTTATAAGAAATGTCTTTTATTTTTTAAAATTAATTAATTTTTTTAATGGGGGAATTTAAAATACGAGGTTTCAGTGATGAGCGCCATGTCAATCATTGCAGCCACTTATTTCAATTTTATAACTGTTTTCTGGCTCATAGTATTAGAAATAGATTTTTTCCCCAAAATGAAGAATCCCCCAGCTTGCTTTGTTGCAATGTATGGTTTGAATAAAACCAGATGCCTTTATTAATATTGTCATTAAATAAATACTGATAGAATTCATGCAGTTTTACCAATTAGATTTTTTTTTTCAAAATAGAAAATGTAGATTTCTTTTATTTCATTTTTTATGGATGCTGACCGAAAATTTATCTGTATGCTATCTACAATTTGAATTATAAGGTGTTCAGGTGATGTTTGGGCTAGTTTTCAGAACTTTTTTTTGCTTTTCAAAATAAATAAGTCCCCCCCCATAGTCACCGGTGACTTTAGTTTCCCTTTCTTCCATTGCTACTTAAAAGATCTATTGTGGAATTGACCCTTCTTTATTTCCACTCCCCAGAAAGTGCAGTACTTTTAAGTAGTTGAACACTTGCTTATTTTTCTGCAGGCATTAGTTTCACCTTTCTGAGAGATGTACTATTTCTAGGCTGATGCTTTGCAATTACATAGAGCATGCTCTTATGTCTTAGCTGTTTCATGGCAGATTCGGAAAAAAAATTTTCCGATTTTTTATAGGTGGATAGCTGGGAGAGGTAAATTTTTGTTTTCATGGATGATATGTCGAGGAACTTCTTTGAATATTTTGCACCTGGTGAATTCATCCAGTTTGTGGTCATTTCTTTCTCCATCCACTTTAAGATGCTGTGGGTTGTGCCAATTTGCAGTTTTGGTCAAAAGGGTGTGACTGATGCTCCTGCTTTTGCTAGTTTGTCAGCCTGTTCGTTGTCTTCAATCTCCTTGGGCCCTAGCCCCCAGATCAGAATGAAATCTGATTTCGTTCCCAGGAGCTGGAGATATAGTTTAGATTTCTAGACCAAAGCTGAAGGAGGAGTCTAATGCTTTCAGTGTTGCTTGGCTATCTGAGAATATGTATTTCTGTGCACATTTTAATCAGTTTTTTAGTATTTCTTGCAAAGAGTTCTACTACATGGATGTTAGCTTGGAAAATTGATGATGTGGAGCTTTTAGGTTTTGCTTGTCAAAATTGGGGCCTTTGACTCCTTCCCTACTTCGTTCAATTTTTTACTCATATGTATAAGGCCCCTTTATCATTTTGAATGGCTTTTATTCTTCCAAACATATAGTATTAATTTTATTTGGAAAGGTCTGTGAAAATTTTCTATTTTATCCTAAGAGTATTTGAGCTTTTGTATGCCATCCTCTAGATGCATGTGCCACTTCCTTGCTTTTGTTCTATATGTCAGGAGAATACAAACCTAGTTATCTTTTAATAATTTAAATTCTAAGCAGCTTTAATGGTTTTCTCATTTTTGCAAAAAAAAAAAAAAATCACACACTTGTGATAGTTTTATTCGGTTAGGACCATGTACACGGAGTGTTTGGCATGATGTTTCAAAAACTAACTTACTAATAAATTACCCATAATATTTTTTCCAGTTATAAATTTATCAATACAGGTCCTGTAATGGAGCAAGTTATTATTATTTTTTTATTGGCTAATAGTTACAAAAAATAAAAAACATCAATTCACATTTCTTAGTTTGTGTTCACCTAGAACAATCTGAATATATAGTAAAACGTAAAGACACAAGTACAAATTGTAGAATTAACCAATTTTTTATTCAAGAAAAAACATCCCAATTAATTCTTCTTGATTTTCATTTTTCAGGTTAATTTTTAATAGACGGAAACATGTTAGAGTGGGCAGTTCAAGGGGTGAACATCTCTGTGCCGAGGAACGGTGGTTTGGAATGTGCCAATTTCCTGTCAATGAAGACAAGGACATTGGAAACCATCTTCGTTCTGTGTCTGTGCGGGCCAACGTTCATGTGGGGCATGCGACGCCTCACACCTCTTAATATTGACTGCCAGGAAAAGAGAGAGCCGACTGGCAAAAGGGTCCTGCTTGTAATGATGTGCCTCATTTGGGGAATTGAAATTGGATACAAATTCTCATCCAGGACTGTGATATTCCTTCTCAACCCTTGTCATATAACTACCGCCTTACAGGTACAAAATCTATTGTATTTGATGTATATTTTTCTAAAAAACTTTCGGCGGTATAATTTTTTTTCTTTCTAATCTAGATATATTTGTTGGTGGCTCGACCTAGTAAAAGAGTTGGGGCTCTTTTCCGATTCCAGATGAATTGTATGAACGGCGCTGTGTTAGCATTAGCATTTCCCGAATTAGATGCATTAAATGTACGTATCATTTTGTATCACGTTATTGAAAAATAACTTCCATTTTGTTAAAGTATAAATCAGCGAACTTGGAGGCAATTTCCTATCCACTATGACAATGTCATGTCCGTTACCTTTATTTCATTTCTTTTTTCTTTCTTTTTTTTTTCTACAAATTAAAATAGTTGCACCATATAATCTATTATTTATTACCATAAACAATGGTGCCTTTGTTATTAAAGCTGCCATTTGAAACCTGGTTGTATTGGATACAACACTCTATGATGATGGTAATACCCTTATATCTCATACAACTTGGAGGTATGTACTATCAAAGTAGGCAGTATGTTGCAATTTGTAAATTTATTTTCATACTCACCAATGCATGCTTTTTTTGGTACTCTTTTTATTATTATTTGAGTGATAGATAGCAGAAGGATTATTGAATTTTGGAAAGGTTTTAATGCTATACATGTCACACATTTTTTTTTTTAATTGTACACTTTGTTTTATTAGTTGTCTTTTGCTTTTTTTTGTGCTTTTAACAACCTTTTTGGTTTGAATTTAATATTTTGTTTTGGGCATTGTAGCACATGGCCACCTATATTTTTTGTTATAATTCGAATGGCAGAACATAGGCCATTTGTAAATTATCTGCATGATTTGGGTTTTAATTAATCACACAACACAATAGTCATGATTGTGATTTAAGGTGATTTTAAAATACAACTCCAGAAACGTACAAGAAATTTGTTCATAAATTATCACCTATCAGCATATTGTATTATTTTTAATTTTTGTATACCAAACACCTTTTGTAATTTGGCAAGTTTGCTCTTCAGTAACAAGAAAGGATTCAATTTTGCTTCATTGGTTATACAATTTTTAGTTATATACAGTTCTTGCTGGGGTAATAATACCGACTATTAAAAACCTTGTAATCACACCACAAGTAGCCGGATGGCGTTACCTTCAAATTAATGTTTAAGAAAACTATAATGTACGAGATACATTGTATTAATATGTTATAATATATTACGATTAATTAAGGTTTTTAGTTGAGATAAAAAAGTCAATGGCACGAGCGGGATTCGAACCCACAACCTTCGGCTAGATACGCCGCTGCTCTACCACTTGAGCTATTGTGACCTCGATCCACTCAGACACCAACTTCCTATCTCAACCCCACCTTTTTGAGTTTTCCCTCCTTTTTGCCATTTTTCAAATGTCGTGTAATCGGATTGGATTCTCGACGACAAAAGAAATGGCCACGAAGAGCTTTAGTGAAATATACTTCATTTTAAATCATTAAATTCACTAATTTCGTGGTCTGCTTAACCAATTAATATAATTGACTTTTTTATCTCAACTAAAAACCTTAATTAATCGTAATATATTAATTGGTCAAGCGGACCACGAAATTAGTGAAGTTATAATATATTTTTAAAGAAAATGCGTTAGATGTTTGTAGTTCCAAGAAAATTATTATTATTTATTTTTATTGCTGGATATATTTCACAGAAGGAGAATACAAAAAGATAACAGAAAAAAGTACAATAAAAGTTCTCAGTGATACAAGTAATAATAAAAATGAATGTTAAACTAGGACTCCTTGGTTAGTGAGAGAAACATAGCACTTCGGTCCGACTATTCAGAATGTTTTCTCGCTGAAGTAAATAATACATTTTTAGCTGACCTAGACAATCTGTGTGGAAGAGCTTATCTCATATTTAAGGATGGGTCAATAAAGAATGGTGGTAGGCTGTGCAATGTATGACCCTCAATTAAAATTTGGGAAAAATTCAAACTCCCCTCAAAAATGACCACTCAGCAAAACTAGTAGCTATTCTAAAAGTGTTCCAATACTTTTCGAGTACTAAACTCAATAGCAGAAAAGTTGTACTCCTGAAGCAAGCTGGAAAGTATTAGAAACTTCGGCCCAAAGTCAGGCAGCAACTATATTGTATGACAAATTGAGCACAATTGAGAGGTTTTATCACAAGAGAAAGGTACAATGACTTTTTTCTGTTGGGTTAGAGGACATTCAGGAATAAAAAATAAAGAAATAGACTTGCACAAAAGAGGGAACTCTGAACTTCCTATCCCCCTTGTAAAATACCTGGACATACACCATGGAGGAATTGGCAGAAAGATTGGGAAGAGATGAAATCAGGAGCTTTCTTTCAGCCAGTGAAACCCCACATCTCAAAAATTCGTAGGTTCCGCAGCACAATCTTGACAAAAAATGAATACACTATAATCTACAGGCTAAAATGTAATCACAGATTTTTCTACATTACATTGAGTTAGGGAAACCCTAACTATTCTTGACATGTCAAGGCCGTGAGGTCTTGGAGCATATGATAATGCGCTGCAATAAATATTGTTCTAACAGAACAATAATTTTTTAATGACCACATAGAACTTGAGATGTAGAGAAGCCATCGAATTACAAATCATTGATAGATAGATAGATAGATAACATGCTTTATTTACATTAAAGAGAAGCATTACATAATATACAATATTAAAAGCATTTTACAGCATGGATGCTTATCCGTCTGCCGGAAGTTGGCTGTTCTTTTTCAGGCGAATGAAAAATAAAAAATAAAATAAACTGTATAATAATGGTAATAATAGAAAACTATAAGTAAAAACTAAATTATAAAAACTAGCTGATTTTAGATACAAGTTAAACAATTATGACTCGGTATTATAATCGTACCTATATTGCCAGGCATGACGTGCATAGTGTGCTAGACATTTCGACCTCTCCATATCCACGATATTTAACAGATCAAGCAGCTGAGACCTGGAAAGCGATTTATAGCCTAGATACAGGATACGGAGTTCAGACAGTATGGGACACTGGGCAACAAAATGAAAGATATCTTCCCTAACTCTTAGGTTACAGAGCGTGCACAAGAAATTTCCGTCGTCTTCCTTCCATGGCACAGAATTGAGGAACACTTGCTCGCATCTGAGTTTAAGAAGCCATCGAAGAGTCGGAAGTTTTATAGACCCACTAGCTTGCACATTTAGGTTAAAGGTTTCCTTAGAGTGGTCTAGGGCCTTAAAGAGAAGACACCTGTTGGAGACCTGAGCCCGATGCTCACAACTCACACGATGTGGATCACATAGTCTGCACAAAAGTTTCATGGTATAATTGGGCCAACCCGAGAGGTTTTCTAAACAAAAAGAAAAATCGCAACCATATTGAGAAGCTAAAGTATTCCATTGCCGAAACCAGAACCATTAGATTTAATAACCTCGAGAGCAGTAATTTTGGAGATTCGGGCAACAGGGCCCTTAAGTACCCTAAAACAAATGAAAAATGCAGGAAAAGCGTAAATAGGAAAATTTTATTTGCCGTCTCTATATAAAGTATATAGTTTGATGATATATTACAAATCATTGTTGGCTGTGAATAATATTCATAAACCCCTCCTGTAATATATGCATGACAATTTAAAAAAAAAAACTTACAAATAAAATTAAAAGCAAAAATATTGTATACTTTTGAAATGTTAATTGTAGGGAGCCTCGGCTAATCTCGTCCTAGGTCAGGGCTACTATAATAGAGTTTTTGCTAATTGGTAATAACAAAGACCTCACCCAAATGTCAGCCTTTTTCTTACATTACCTTTCAACAAAGGAAAAAGAGGGCACCAACTAATGAATGATAGCAACGAGACGTCCACTATATAGCTAGCAAGAAGTCCAACCTAGTTTGCCAGGCATATTTAGGTTGATCATCCTTTACGACTCTGCCCACCGATCCACTCTCATTTTTCTTGGCACAGTTTTATTTCAAAACCTTGTGTAGTACTTTACTGGTGTTATAAAAAAAGTTTCTATTTCACTTATTATTTGAAATTCAGCAGTTGCCATTGTTTAAAAGCTAGTGACAGAGAATTTCAACAAGAGAGAATGTACAAATGCAAACAAAATCTACCTGATTTTATTGTAATTATTTTTTAAAAAGTTTCTGTCATGCAGTAAAGCTTAACCTCCAACTACCTGTTGGGTGTTGCATACGAAGGGTCAAACCACATACCAGACATTTTTCATACTAGTACCAATTAAGAAGCCATGAGCTATGCTGGGATTCAAACCCAGAACAGCTATCATGGCAAATTCTCTAACCACTTGGTCTCCACAATTCCCTTTTAAGGCCTTATGTTAATGCGTATTAGCCAGAATATGATGGAGTATTTTTTTGGGAGGGATAAAGGTCAAAAAGTTCAGGGACTTTAAGAATCAAACCCATGGCCACACTGGGTCTATGAGCCGAGATTCTAATGCACTATTCGCTAACCTCTCTGCAACCGCAGTCCCCCATCTACCTTATTTAATAGTACATTTTTGTGGTGAACTGTAAAATAACTAACATTCATTTTTTTGTCGAAGGCCTTTAATTAAAATGAATAAGCTTGTATTGCAAACTAATTAACAAGAAATAGTCTCTTACCTTAGCTTTTTAAAATAACGTAGACAGTTTAAAATTTAATTAATTCTAACCATTAGAAAGGTGTAGTGTTGTTCATGAAAATTAAAATGAATACATTATATCAGTCTAAATTAAAAATTTAAAAGAGAGCTATTAGACAATTTAAAAGTTAACTTCACTGCCCCAGCAAGATAAAGCATTTAAAGAAACACATTAACAAAGAATAATCAATGACACACTCAAATATGACAAAAACAGTATTAAAAAAAAAGGTTGGTAGTATTTAAAATTATTGTTGTAAGTTTTTTTTAACAGATTATTTATTGGTTTTTTTTAGAAGAGGTAATCTAAATTATTTATTAATTTTGCTCGCAATAAAAATAACATGGCATTAAGTAAAGCAATATAGGAAGAACATGTTGACAATTTTGCATGTTTTGATTCATTTGTATTAGTATTTCATTTATTTGTCCTTCTTATTTTTATTTATTTATGTATTATTTCAAATTCTACTGTTTCTTTTTTTAATGTTTTATAATCCATGTTCCTCAGTTTTATTCACTTTTTTGTATTGCTTTACATCCCTCACTTTAGTCCAGTTTGGTTCTGAAACATAAATAACTTCCAGCAAACTTTGGTCTTTTGTTCTAGGTGTCTATGAAGTTGAAAAGTTGAATGATTTTTCATGGAGTCTGGTTTCATATTGCATTCTTGTTTTCTACCATTTTATCATCCTACAAGGAATTGGTCTTGTAAGTAGGCAAACCATTTACCAAAAAAAAAAAAAAAGTGAAAAAAATATTTGAAATCAAGTTACTACTTAATTTGCAAATTCAATGAAGACACTGTAATTTTCCAAAATATTTTAAGAATTTTAGTTTTGTTAAAAGTAATTCTTTCTTTGCATTACGAATAATAAATAAAGGATAAGTTTAAATTATGAGAAATAATCAATAATTTGCATTACTTAATTTAATAATTTAACAAAAAGGGTGTTTTATATTAGGGCAACTTCTGTGAATCTGTGACAGGAGGAAGTTCTTGAGTTATTACATTATGTCATTAACCTTTAGAACTATAATTTTCCACTACACTAAGCAGATGGCCCTAATGTGATCCAAGATAAAAACTATTTAAAGCTATTGAAGGGCAATCCGATTTAAATATCACTATTTTTAATGATTATTGTTTTTTTACACTGAAAAATTTTAAAAAATTAACCAAATGATTAATTTTTATTTTGATTTACAGCCAACTCAGGTGAATCTGAATCATATGCTATGCCCGGCTATCCGTGATCCTTTTGATGGCCCCTGGTACAGGCCGATAGCGACGACACATCAGGCATTCCTTTGCCCAATGCTAAGCAAGTTTTTCGCATTCGTTGGGCATAAACTGTCAACACCGCCAAGAAAGAAATATCACTGATAAATTTAGTTATCGAATCGGTTGTTTGTTTACAAGTTTGGGTTCGAAACCCCCTTTCTCTATCTTGCTCATTTCAGCTTAAGCTTATTTTGGACATGATGTTTTGGGTAATTTTGAAATGTACTAAGTGCTCATATTTATTTATTTGGTTGTAAATTTGAACATATCAGATCTTAATGTGATTTATTTCAAAGATTTAGGGTTTCATGTGTAATAGATCTGGTGTTTCGTGTAGTCGGAAGTTTTAAATCATTAACTTCTGTGACAGATGCTAATTTAAACATTTCAGTTTTTTCTAATCTAGCCTTGCTTTTGCATAAGTTCTGAATAGACCAGTTGGCTTGATTAAATCTGAGTTCCTACTTGCTGACCAAAAAGCTATAACAAAGTAAAAGCAGTTTTAAAACCCTTTTTCTACTTGGAGAAAGAAGTTCGAATAACATTTAATTGAAATTTTTAAATTTTGAGACCAATGGCATTTAGCTTCAACACTTTCTAGCTTGAAAACATTTACATCTTACTGGAAATACTCGAAGCTTAAACTACATTTATTAACAAAAGTCGGTAGGTTCAAATTTTCGTTTAAATTAAAATGTGACAATAAAGTTATCATTTCAATAAATATTTTATGTAGAATTTCTACATCAAACAAATTTATTATCTATTTTTTTAATATCATTAGGTTAAAGAGAGAATAAGGGAAGTAAATCATAAAAAGGAAAATTGTAAGTTACTTTTCCTTCTATCATAATATAACAATGTCTTTTATTTAAAAAAATAAATAAAAAGGCATTAATTATGTTATTGGTATATTTTTTCTCCATTTTTACAGAGTACAATAAACCTTCTTTACTTATGAAATCTATGGAAAAAGTAAATTTAAAATTTGAAACACTTGTAGAAATCACTTTAAATTGTTTACAATAATAATTAGCCTGTGCAGTAATATTGTGAATTAGATTGTTTTTTAAAGTCACAGCCAAGTCTTGTATGTTATCAAAAACTTCACAGGCCAAAAGTGCCAAGATAAAAGTTATGCAAGTAACTTAGTAACGTAGGTTAGTCATTATTGTGAGCCATTAGGAAGATTTATAAAGTTTTCTGCTACGGCAAAGTAAAAGTATTAAAAATTTAAAAGTTGGATTTTCAGTGAGTTATCTGCTGTGCAATTTTTTTTATAAACAAATTATTTTCTCCTTTTGAAGGAAGTAAAATGCCTGTTTTTTCTTTTTTAAATCTACTAAAGACAATTTAGCCCGAAAAGTACAAAATGTTATTTTTTATATTCAGTAGTAGTATTTTTTTATTATTCAGATCACAAATTTCTTGGGCGAAATTGAAAATCCAACTTCAAAAATTTTTGTGCACACTTTTACAAAACTGTGATTATTGCTGTGGTTCTTAAGATTAATATTGTTTGATGACTTTTCAGTATCTATTTTTTTTTAAATTTCATCAATTGTAATGGTATTGATAATCACTTTTCATACCAATATTAGATTTTACATATATTACAATATTGGTAAAATAAGGACCACATACGTTTTTTTAATTCTTTATGCAGTTAAATAATATTTAGCTAAGATAATTATTTTTTATACTTTGTCATTTGACAAGAAAAATCATTTGGATATTAAAATGAGGATCAAAATTTATGGAAGCTACATTTTTGTCTCACTTTCTTAAAATTTCTTAAAAAGAGGCAAATTCATTTTGACTAATCTGAGTTAACAAGATAATTTATCATTCGATTAAACAGGTCAAAAGCTGTCTGGAGGCTGTTTCAGGGTTGATCTCTAGGACGATGTCTAATATCTAATTTGATATTTTTGATGCTGAATTAAACTGTACTTAACCACTTAAACCCTACATTGGACATTATTTTTGTTCAAAAGGCTGACAGTTGTCTGGAGGTCAGGTTTCTTAGCACGTTGACTGCGTCCTATGCTTGTCCATAGCTGAACCCAGTTTATCTCGTAAATAGCTCTCTGGTACATAAAAATAATGTAAATGATTCTTTTATATTACATTTTTTTTGCTTTACTTTGATGTATATGGCCAGTGTCCCGTGTTGCCAGCGACACCACCCACCCAACCTGTGCGAGCTGACCAAAGCCATCCTTGGGAAGAGGGCTAGAGTGCCTCCCTTTAGACTTATTTTTGACATTTGGGAACTCACTCTCTCTTACGGGTGCATTGAGAGGATATAGATAAAAACCACTTAAATCGCTTTAAGCACTGCGTTGGCAGCAGGCCTCCTGGACATTGATTATTGTTTGAATAGTCTCGATCTATATATCTACTCTGCTATCTTGCAAGAAATCAAAAATGAGTCAACACCATTGCCTGATGCTAACAAGGTTTCATAACTAAAAGGCTTAATCACTTCCCTCTGCTGGAAGATCCATTTTAAAAGGTTCTCTCTTTCTGTCTCGTATTCAGGACAGAAAAAGACAATATGCTTCATGTTTTCTGGCTCATTACATTTATTTAAATATTATAAATTGTAAAAGCAACAGTTGCGTCCGTCGCAGTGCTAAGTAAATGAAGTAGGCAACCCGCAGAACGCTTGTTCAATTTGTGTGTGTAGTTTGATAAAAGTTGTTTCTATTTTCTACAATAATTTTTCCTTTATTTTATGTAATTGTACAAAATAGATAAATAATTATTTAAAATAACAAAACACATACACAGAAAAACAGATTTGCTTACATGGTTGTCACAGAATAATTTAAAAAAATCACTTTCAGTTGAAATTCGACTGGTGACACTTGTGCCCTTTCTAAGGTGGCCCTAGGAATTTTGAATAGAATTGGGTAGCAGATGTAGTTGAGGGAGATCTTAAAAAGTATAAACGGGTTGATGCAGACCCTGCGTCAATCGCACCCAGAAGGACAGTTGGTAAGGCACACATGTTGTGTCTGGTGCAGTCAACGTGTTACTATGTTGTGTTTATAATAATGTTCACATTGTGAAAAATACCAAAAGTCAGGTATGAAGTACTTGTCTATTCCCAAGGGTTGTATACGGGTAGTTATGTGATTTTTAATATTTTTTAAACTTATTTCTTTTAATTATTCTTTAATAATTGGAGCTTGGTGCTCATAGTAAATTTAAAAGTTCACATTATTCTTCCCAGTTCTCATGAAAATTCTGTTTCGTAATTAAAAATAAATAAATAAATAAATTACCATTATCTCAATGAACAGCTAACAAACCTAGGAGAATCTTTGACTGTACCTGTTTGTTTGGTCCTGTGTAAGTTATCACTTGTAGACACAATTCAATTGTGGTCCCAAGAAATATCATTTTCAATACAATTAAGGTTTTTAGTTGAGATGAAAAAAAGTCAATGGCATGAGTGGGATTCGAACCAACGATCTTCGGCTAGATACGCAGCTGCTATACCACCTGAGCTATCGTGACCTCGATCCACTCGGACATCAACTTCCTATCTCAACCCCACCTTATGAGTTTTCCCTCCTTTTTGCAATTTTTCAAATGTCGTGTAATCGGTTTGGATTCTCGACGACAATTGAAATGGCCACGGAGAGCTTTAGTGAAGTGTACTTCATTTTAATTCTTTAAATTCACTAATTTCGTGGTCCGCTTGACCAATTAAATCATTACAATTAATTAAGGTTTTTAGTTGAGATGAAAAATGATCGAGGTCACGATAGCTCAAGTGGTAGAGCAGCGGCGTATCTAGCCGAAGATCGTGGGTTCGAATCCTGCTTGTGCCATTGACTTTTTTTCATCTCAACTAAAAACCTTAATTAATTGTAATGATTTAATTGGTCAAGCGGACCACGAAATTAGTGAATTTAAATCATTTTCAATGTTTTTTCATGGGTTTGTTAATTCACTTTTTAAACACTTATCACATTTGAACAAACTTTTTTTGACAAAACACTTCCTGCACAGTTTTTCTCACAAGACTTTTATGAAGTACTACAATTATTTTTACTTCTGATTTCTGGTGTAATAATTTTTATGAGGATTCGGAACAAATAGTAAGTTTTCATATGAAACGACATAAAAGTAAGCTTGAGTAAGTATTTATGGGAATTACTTACATTAGCTTTTCAATTTTTCACTGGTTCCAAAGGAATTTTACTTTATATGTGGGTATTCTTTTTTTCCACAAGTTAAATTAACTTGAAACTTATCAATTACTCTTATAATGCAATAAAATTATTTTTACTAGTCATAATCTTGATCTCTGTTGGAACCCCTTGTGCTTTTATTTGGGATATCCAATTTTTAAAGTGTAGGTAAGGTAAGGATTTTTGGCCCTATGATATGAGTCAATTGCTTTATATGCTAGGATCAGTTGATCAGCTGCAATTTTTTAAGAATTCCAAGCTTATAAAAAACGGTTTTTGGGGACCTCATTGGATCATTAGGGCATTCTCACATTTATCGCATAGCTATCCTGGTTTTGAATTCTGATTCAATCTTGGAGGTTTTTATGAAAAAGTATGGTCCGATCTCTCATCTGTGACATGAACAAGGTATTAAAATACAGATATAAAAAATGTCTGTGAAGTGATGAGCCTGTTGCAAGACCATTCCGAACATGCCGGTCTGCCTATTCTCCCAGGTGTTTAGGTGGCAGATTCTAAAGGAAGCAAAATGCATTTGACAAGGGTCACAAAATAGGCAGATTGGGATAATAGGAGGCAGGTAGTCAGCCATCTTTGTATGTAAATTATTTTTGCGAAGGATTAAAACAAACTCGAATAATTATTTAGATCATATTTATTCTTATGAAAAAAAAGGCAAACAATGGTTTTAATTTCAATTTATCTAGTCAAACAATATTTCCTTCAGATTGTAATTGTCCAGATTTATGTTTTTTGTAGTGATGGTCATGTCTGGTAGGTCCTGGATTTAATGTTCACTCAAACGACACAGCATTTTACCCAAACGTGATATACATTTGCAAAAGAAAGCAAAACTTTTTAGTTTAAAGGTTGGATTTTAGCGAAACTTTTTGAAATTAGCTTCTTAACTGCAATCACAAATAGCTGTTGCACATAAAGGCAATTTTGCATGATTAAAAAAACAATTAATTTGTATTTGAGTAATAAAATTTAACAAGTATGTTTAAAATAAGTAGACTTCTTGGGATGTAATCTAAATAGCACATTGGATACAATGTATATAACGAGTCCATTTATGTATAAAAGTAGGAGAATAGCTCTTTTAGTAACGTAGGCACAAGTAAAATATAATAATAATAAAACTTTTAACAGGTAGGAAGACAATTTCAAAAATTGAAAAGGACAAACTATTTTTAAATTTGCTGTATTTTTAAGGTGCCTTGTCTAGATTTTTCCTAAATACTGAATAGGAAGCTTAACTTCAATTATTAATAAAATAGTTATTTCTTATGTAGATAACTATTCTGTGATTTGGTAATTTTAATAAATATTTACAGGCGTATTTTTCATTATTTTACAAGTATACATTTCTATTACAAAGTTTGGCAGTTTTTTCACCAGCTCATTGTTACCAAACTTCCATCTTCGTTTCTGTGTCTTGAAGGTGGAACCACTGCCATAACATCGATCAGTATTTACTCTTTTTTTTTTTTTTTTTTTTTTTTTTAATAATTTGATTAATGCCAGTGTTTGAAAGTGTTAACATTGGATGGTAATGGAGTTATTTCAAATGATTATTTTGGGTTAAAATAAATACAATTTAATATTGTGTTCTTTGCTCATGCCTTTATTCAGCTTATTTGTTAAATGATCTCTGTTTGATGTGAGAGAAAATAATGAGTACTATAATCTAGTCTTGTAATAGCGATATTCTGTCCAAAATTGTAGCCGATTTTATATAATGTAAATTCTATTGGTTCAAGTGATATAATTTATTGTATACACCAAGCGTATCTCTTCTGTTTGACATAACTTCTTTTAAAAGGAAAGTATGAAAAAGGCTAGTGAAATGTTGTTTTAATTCTCTTAAAACCATCAACATTAAAATTTCTTCAGATTATGAAGTCTTTCACAGACTGAAAATCTCAAATAATCTGTTCTGCAAGTTTTACTTAAATATAATGTTTTCTAACATATCAAAATTATAATTTTTCTTTGTTTAAATTGAGATTTTGAGTGATTTAAAACTACACATCTGATTCGTTTCATTCAATATTGAATGCACGGTTATGTTACTATTAGGAAATTTTCAATAAAATGTAATAAAAAAAAGACATGTTAAGGACTGTTTTTTCTTCTGTTTTTGTACTTAGAGTTTGTAGTGGGTTATATGTTAGAATCTGTATATTGGAATAGTCAAAATATAAGTAATAAGAGAAAAATAAATTAGCATTTATCTCTATTGAATTTTTAAAATGTAAAAACACCTGTTGTAGCCACCGCAATTCTAAGTTTTGCGTGCTTTTATTATATTTTATTCATCTTGGTTTCAGCAAACCTGTTTTGCTGTTTATATTATACAAACTTCTATTAATTCTAATGGGAAAATCCTTTCTTTTTTTAAATGGTTTTTAAAATATTTGTGGTCTTGTTTTATTTGTAGTTTTATGGTTATTAATAAAGATTTTACAAGCTTAATTTCTTTTCCTGTCACCTCTTTATTGAAGTTATTATATAATATTTTTAAAACTGCAGTATAAATTATATTGGTAATTTTTAATTTCAAATAATAATTGAAATTGTACAAAACACATACTTAAACATTTTCTTTTTGAAATTTGGTTATTATTGATTATTTTGGTTTGTCAAAATCTGTTTGGATTGGTCTGTCATTCTTCACAAAAATCACCCATACCAACAGTGAAGATGGCAAAAACGCATCTGACAGACTCAGCGAAGATAAGTAGACCAAAATGATGGTTAAAGACAAAATTTCATTTATTCATTTGATTGCAGTTCAAATGGGTAAAATGACCCAAAACTGATTAGTCTGGAGTATAAAAAACATAAAAATATACACACACTGTTCATCATAAAGAACCGCAGAAACAATGGCTGAACAAATAAGAACACTGAGGGAAATGGACTATCATAGATTAAAGCTCATGCTTTTAAATGAAAAATTGTAATGCGTGAGACTTTTTTTACAATTTTCATTAAAAGTCAAACAATGTAAAAACTAAACTTTAGCGTGATGCTTTTTAAGATAAGTATTAACTATGTATTAAAAATTTCAATCTTTTTGGGGATTATTCAGAAGTGTCAATCGTAACACAATTCCATTTCTATTTATGTTTGTTTATCAAATGTTAATTTCTTTAAGTTTGCCTTTGTGGCTGGAAATTTTCCAAAAACGCCCAATAAAAAAAATATAAGGTGACAGAAGTTAAACTCACTCTGAATATCAAGAATCTGGAGATAGAGAAGATACAGGCCATATAATGACATCTTTTGTGATCTCGCAATTTAAGGTTGAGGCCTTCCTAGTTAGACAATTAGGCTGATAGATCACTGTTAATGATGTCTTAGTACATTTTCAACCACAGGATAATTTGGACACAAATGGTCGCACTAAAGTACAGGTACAACAATAGTAATTAGAGTATAAGATTCTAAGAGGAAGACAAGTGTCATTTCTCCCGGCATCCCAGAACATGAAAAAGCATTATTTATATATTGAACAATATTTTTATTAAACAATATAATAAGAAAAGAATATANGTGTTGGAGTGGATTGAGGTCACAATAGCTCAAGTGGTAGTGCAGCGGCGTATCTAGCTGAAGATCGTGGGTTCGAATCCCGCTCGTGCCATTGACTTTTTTATCTCAACTAAAAACCTTAATTAATTGTAATATATTAATTGGTCAAGCAGACCAAGAAATTAGTGAATTTAATATATATTTAGTTGAAAGTTACATCATCATTGGTTCCACAAGTTAATTAATTCTTCATTGCTAATAGCAGACAGCTTTTCAAGAATTGGCCAACCAGTTTTTTGTGATGACAGTATGTATTTGTTTGTTGGGTCCTTCAGGCCAGAATAAGCTCCAAGCACTAGACTTTGGCACAATCTTGTACATACACAAGTCTAGAAATTAAAACATACACAAGTTTTCTAAGAGCAATTGATTTTATAACAAAAGATAACATACTCTGAGTATTTTTTTTTCCAATTCAGGCATCACTCTGAACCTGTTGTAACCGCTGAGAAATGATTTACCGTAAGATATGTCGCTACTGTGCACCAAAATATAACAAATTGCTATGGCTGCTTCAAAAAGGTACGGTGCACAATTTGCATCACCAAAGTCAAGTAAAGCACTTATTTCAGTTCCTTCTACTAGTATATTGTGTTCGTTGATGTCTCCATGTATAATACCTAAAGAACTTTAATTGACCATCTTGTAGGATAATAAAGTAACTGAATTACCTTTTTCCAATTGAGGCATTGCTGCCAGGACATCATTTTTAAAATCTGTAATATGTTGTTCTACTATCTGCCTCCTTTTTGAATCTGTAACCACGTTGATATGCTTCATTATCATCGGTGCATTGTACAATGCCCAGTTTGAATTTAGATTTTCAAAACCTGGGTGGTGAAAGGTCTAAAAGAAATAATGAACAATAATGAAATGGAAAGTAAAGCAAGAGATAAAAACCTACAGAAAGGCAGGTGTCGATCTTTGCTGTTAAAACCCCAACATTAAAGTAAATCTCATGGCATGGATTGACATCGTTGAGTTTTGTCCCAATTTGATACTTCAAAAGTCTAACTATATGAACTGTACCAGCATCTCCTATAATTTAATTTTAACTGTGATATCAAAACAGAACTGATTTAATTATATTTAATGTATCGACTGACCAGATTTACCATCTCCAAAAGTGTGAAAGGAGTAAAATTCACCTGATACGTTCTTTTCGGGTGTTGGAACACGGAAATCGTTACTGACTGGAATTAAAAGTTTAGAAAAAAGAACAAAACAACAATTGATTTTAATTTCAAATACATACCTAAATGGAACATCATTCCATTCTGGCCCTCTATCATAAGTTTGTTTTGGCTATCGAGGGAATTGAGAATTTTCAAAACATAACCGTGTGGATGCAGTTTTTCAATGAAGAGATTCTTGCTTGAATCCAAATCATCATCTACCTAGAAAATGGTGTAAAACTGAAAAACTAATCCATTCAGACAGTAGCTATTTAATTTCTATTAGTTTTGTCACTGTTAATCTGTTTATTCTTGTGTGCCTTTTTGTATTTAATTATTTTCACTTTTTATTTTAAATTAAATCAAGCAACAAAAATGGCATCTCTATGGATGTACGATAAAAGTAGTAAAAAACAGTATTTTTTATTTTAGAAAATTACAAAAACCACACTACATAAAAATTATAAATAAGGGAAAAAATAAATTTCAACTAAAATCAATTCCTTCCATACAGGAGGATAAAACTGAAAGCAACTTAAAATTTACTTAATTTAAATTAAAATTTCATTAGGTTTCGTGGTCTGCTTAAAATAAATTCTTTTCTATTATTTAAGGTTTTGGTTATAGATAAAAAGTCAGTGTTACAAGCGGGATTCGAACCCACGGCCTTCGGCTAAATACACCGCTGCTCTACCACTTGAGCTATCGTGACTTCGATCCACTTGGACACCAACCTCCCATCTCAACCCGACCTTTCGAATTTTCCCTCCTTTTTTCAAAATTCAAAAGGTGGGGTTGAGGTGGGATGTTGGTGTCCGAGTACATCGAAGTCACTATAGCTCAAGTGGTAGAGCAGCGGCATATTTAGCTAAAGGTCGTGGGTTTGAATCTCACTTGTGACACTGACTTCTTATCTCAACCGAAACCTTAATTAATTGAAATTAAATTAAAATCTAATACTAAGTGTGGCTTAACTTTACCTGAATCCTGTAGTTCTTGTCATCATATCCATCCAGCTGCACACAGCTCTTCACATTCAGGCCATACTGTTGTTCCATCAAAGAAAAAACTTGCTCCTGGGTAAGAGTGGGACTCACCATATTTTCCGAATCAGACATGTTGAACTAATGACAAATACCCACTTCAGAATATACAAAACCTGTAACTCTTTATCACAGTATGTCGAATTATCTCTCGACAAATGAATTTTGTTTGTAGAGCCAATAAATGCCCCCCCGTCCTATCCCCTTACTAACTTGATTTTAACCCATCCTGTCACATGATTGAGATTACAAACTCTTAATGTCTTTCAATTGGGCACAACTATCACAAGGATATCATTTTATAAAAATGATGTCACAGCAAAAAGTGATAACTTTTTCTTGCAATGAACAAGGCATTTTTATGATTTGCACAGTAAATAGAAGAATGTAAAAATTAAACTTTATCAAACTGATTTTTAATATAAGTGTTAAGTGAATTAAAACATTTCAATTAAAAAAAATTTGTTCTCAAAAGCCCAAAAGCCTCTAGTGTCAATAAATCAATTTTATTTACTTTTGTTTGTCAAATATTAATTCCTTTAAATTTTTATTTCTGGACGGAATTTGCACCATTGAATCTGATGATAGGCACACAAGATACAGTCTGATTGGTATGTACTATCACTTTAGTTCTCGTTATACATAGTGATGCTTAATACTTATCATTAAGAAAAAGTTTCTTCTTTTTGGCTGAATATGATGTTTGGATTTGGAAAGGAAACTATAATGACTCAGAGAAAAAAAAATCATTTATGTTAAATTTTTTTATAACATAAATATATCACAGAACATATTAAGACAATTAAACTAAATGCACAATAATCATCAGGAACAGGGTTTTTGAGCAGGTAATCAAAAATAAATAGAAAACAAAGACCTGTTTTCACACAGAAATGTTAATCAGGTACAATGATTGAATTCATTGTTTAATAAATTAAAAAAAAAAAAACTTAAAAAATTGCCTTATTAAAAAAAGTTTTTGTTTGTTTTTAAAATAATTACATTACAAATATTAGTGATTAAAATATTTAGGTTTAAACAACCAAATAAATACAAAATGGATGTTCTTTGATGTCCATTTTGCTCAGTGAGTAGATCAGTCACAAATATTCTAATTCATTGTTTTACCCACCGATATGCAAATTACAAACAGCCAACCATTTTGATCAACCACTCAAGGTGAAATTCTTTCATTATACACACATGACTAGAAATAGTTCCTTCTGAGGAATCTAAGTATATATATAATTACATAATAATATAAATAACATTTACAGTTTAAATAAAAACAAATTGGGCTTAAAGGTTTTATCAAAATATATACATATTTATATTTATGTACGTTATTTACAATTTTTCTTTGTACCTGGATACTTATAAGTGTAATGATTATAACTTAGCACTAATTCTGTACACAGTGCAATAACAAATAGTCAACAATTGGAATGCAGAGAGCTGTGCATGTAAATCACTCAAATTTACTGAGACAAAACACAAAATATACAAGTAAAAAAATATTGCCTTGTTAACCCAACAAACAAAAAAATGAAGGCCAACCAGTAGAGGTCCAAATATAAAGTGTTTTCTATACTCGATTCATTTACATATTTTAATTTTAAAACAAGAATAGCAATTTTATTTGAACATGTTAATAAAATTTTGTTTTATGAAAACAGTTGTGACATCTGGAAAATAAAGTTTCACAGTAAAACAATGCCAAACGGTTCATTTAATAAATAAAATCTGTCATAAATAACATTTACTAAAATTGTGAAATTGTCAGTTAGAATTGTAAAGTTTGTGTAATTTACTATTGACAAATATTTTATTATTGACTATTTCAGGTTCAATGTTGAATAATTAAAAACAAATGTAAATGCAACCAATGTCTTAGAACCTGCTATCACAAGAGCTATAAAACTAGTTTAAAAAAAATAAATAGAAAGAGATATAAAAATTAAATAGTTTTCACACCTCAAGTGCCATGGAACCCCCTCACTACGTACCTAACCCCAGACCAAAATGAGATTAGTGTTTTAGTATTCTTAGTGTTCAAATGAGCAAAGCTTTTAACCTTTCTTATTTCCTCGGCTCCTAATCCAGCAATTTTTTAAAAAAAACAGCGGTCCCAGGGACATGTTCCTTCCCCTGGTGCCAAGCGGTTCCACCGGTAAAAACATAGTTGGGATTTATTTTTTAATAATTTTTTCATAAATTGAAAAGGTTTTTGCGATTTTTCTAAGTAAGAATGCTTTAGTTCTCTTGGAGGTTCATTTTATACATAAAAATTATATATATATTTCATTGTTGAAGCTTTTTTCCAACTAATGCCTTACCTTCAGTCAAGAATTCAACAATATTTTATTTATTTAATGGCAAAAAATATACCAAAGTTATAAAAGAAAAAATATTACAAGAGAAAGTGCTAATAAAAAAATTTTTTTTTTTTGGTTTATCAAAAAGTAGGTATGTTACTAGTCAAAGAGAAAATATGAGGCAATTTTTTCAAAATGTACTGTATGAAATAATTAGGAATAGAAAACCGCTCTACACACACTAGTTGACATTAACTGTAAAAAAGAATCTGGAATGATAAAATTTAGCCTTAAGATCAAAAAGTACAGCTTTTCTCAAATGCGCCTTGGAAGCAGTACCACAAGGACAAATGAAGAGGTTTACTCCATTCCGGAATGACAGCCTTCAAAAACAGAAGGTCAAGAAAGGGACTGAGTAAGGAAGGCCGCAGAAAGATCGGGATCAGGACAGAAGTTTAAAAAAGAAAACAGCTAAGTTGGAGGGAAGCATTATATCTACCAAGCATTCTGGTCTTAGGACATCCCTTGGTAGCCGTGATTTTAAAAAAGATGGCGTGTGGGCCCACGATTTTATTTCCAAATTGGATGGACAAGGTATTCCCATTCCACAAAGCAAACCACTTGATGCGCCAGAACATTTTAGACCAACTACTCTGATGAGCATATTTTCCAAGCTGTTCGAGCAGTTGACTTTGGGGAGATTGCAGCTTCTTGAGAAAGACCTTGCTTTGATTAAGTTTGGAGGGGTCAAACTCTTGGAGGAGCTGTCAAAATGAGGACAAAGTGGATGCTTATACAGGAGGGTGGCTTCTTTTTCTTGTAGCGCTAGATCTGGGTTACATTTTAAAACGGTACGTCCCCCTATAAACAAGCCAAACAAGATCTGCCACAAGGGCTGTACTCTCAATCCTATTCGATATAATGATAGATGACGTGTTGCAGACTATTCAGTTTTTTCCTGGAGTTGCTGCTCTTTTGCTTGTGGACAATCTTGTTTTTTGGGCCAATTCAAGTCATATTCCTGCATTAGCATCAAGCATAAATGCTGCCCTTGAACAACTACATGTGTAGACAAACACAAACCATCAAGTCTCTGAAAACCACTTACCTTGGCATACTACTGGACATGAATTTAAGTTGGACTAAACACACTCAATATTTAGCAACAAAAGGAGAGAAAAGAATCTGAATGCTCAACAGATTAAGTGGGAAAAAATGGGGGTGTTCATAAGAGGTAGCATGGCTTATACAACTTATGTCTGCCCAACCCTAGAGAGTGGTGGGGAATTGCTAATTACTATACTGAATGTGACAACAAAGCACATAGATAAAGAACAAAATAAAGCATTACGCATAATCACCGGTGGGCCACGTTCAACCCCTATAGCAGCCTTGGGCACAGAGCAATCTGGAAAGATTAAAAAGACTAGAAATCGATTATTGGGAAATTAATTATTGTTATGCCACGCAAAAGACTAAATAAGCATCTTAGACAGGGCTGTAGAAATTATGATCAGCAATGGGCTGGAGATGGAGAATAGAGTCGTTTTTCTGCCCCCCCCCACAAAAAAAAAAAAAAAAAAAAAAAATAAAAAAAATAAAAAATAAAAAAAAAAAAAACCTACCAGAGTGAAGTGATGCTAGGGTTGATTTCCAAAGTAAACAAGGCCACAATGCCAATATGGGAGTTAAAAGCACTGACATTGGAAACAATCGCTGCCAGATATCCTTCCCCCCCCCCTTGGACGCATGTTTATACAACAGCAAATAGAAATGCAAAAGCCAGGGTTTATTCCCACATCGGCAAGATTTCAGAGCCAGTGGGTAGAGTTTGCAACCAACTTTGATGGGGAGATCAGGGCCATTTATCTTGCCCTCATTTTGATTAACAACCGAGCTGAAAATAAATTAATGATCCTAGTTGATTCTCAAGCAGCAATTTCTATATTAAATGGGGATTCTAACTGTAGGACCCTGATGTCATCAATTGTCTCTCACTGATTAAAAAAGCCGAGTCAGATGAAAAAGAAATAGTGTTTCTGCCAGCTACTGTGGATTAGCCTAGCACGGAAACTAGAGGTAGGAAGCTTTAGCTCGAGAAGGCTCGCAAAAAGACCAGCCAGAGATTGGGTTAATGTTCCATTCAGCTAGAAGAACTTTGCGAATACACTTAAATTGAAAGGTCAGGTAAGTTGCTTTCAGCGGCGGAAGGAAAGAGAAGGGAAAGTCTGAGGAATAATAGCTTACCATCTTACCTAAGAAGGGATATGGCAGTTGCATGCTTCTGGGCAACTATGGGGCACGACTACCTCAATAAACATCTATTCAGTTGCAGATTCCCCCATATGCCAAAGTGAAATGGGCTATGACCACTTGGAAGAGTGCTCTGTTGTAGCAGGTGTCTGGGAGTCGGTTAGTGAAAAAGATCAGTGTAGTCAATACGTGAAAATATATTGGGTTGCAGGGAAAAAAAAGCTGGAAAAAAACGAAAATTCGGAAGCTTTGCTTGGCAATGAAAAAGACACGCTTCACTCAATATTCCAGTAAATTTTGTGTTCAAAATTGTGCTTTTAGCACTCTAACAATGTATGTGATGATTGTTGTCAAAAAATGTCTATAATAAGAAACCTTGGTGGGGGGATGGGTAGGTACTTTGTGACATCTTAACCTACTTTCCCTAATTTTTGTAATATTATTGTGTACCACTTTTTTTAATATTATTTCTATATTTGTTTGCTATTGTATTATTTTTGTCCATTTTTCTTAGATTTAATTTTTCAATACTGTTATAAAAACTCAATTAGACTGAGGGAACATTCTAGTGCCAGTGATTTTAAAAAACTGAGCATTTAAAAAAAATAAAAAGTTTCATATTGACACTTTAATATTAGCAATGTTTATATGTTAAAAAATGGTCTCTTTCTTTAAAATAATAAATATGTTCAAAGAAAATAATTTTGGAAGAAAATAATTTTCAACAAAAATAATAATGGATGATTTTGCTTTTATTGACCTGTATGGTGTTTTATCCACCAGATAAATTGCGCATTCGTATGTTTGAAATAGAGGGCACCTTCCGGAGGGTTGACATTTTCACAATTTATTTTTATGATTAATCAAATTATAATGTTAATATGCAAAAATAAATTGAAAATGTTTGTTTAAAATTAAACTTAATGTTTTTTTATTACTAGAAGTGAAAATGTGTATGTGCGTACTGTAATGTCAAAAGTTTTAATCAATTTATCTACTAAGTATGTTGATAACATATCTCTTGCCAATGGTGCTCTTTAAGTAATTAATTTGAATGATATAAAACTAAATTACATTCAATAAAACTGGTGGAATTGCAAAGATAAAATGTTTCTTGAAATGTAAATTGAATATGAACAAATTTGCAGTTGACTGATGAGTGAAGTTTATCAACGTAGATGCCCTTTTTTTTTAAATAAAAAAAACCTTGTAAACCAGTTCTTTAAAATTGTTAAATATGACTAACAATCTGACCATCTGACCAGAAGAAATATAAATAGCACTAAAATATTGGGTTGTCCGGAAAATAATGCAGGATTTTAAGTTTTCATTTAAAAAAATCTATATAAAATATTCTGTTTACGTTTACAGGATTACTCATTTGTATGAATGTCAACACTTATTAATCCTCTTCCAAATGATATTGTTNAAATTATTTTGATTAAAGAACATTGCTTTAAAGTAACTAGTTTCTTTTTTTTTGTTTAATACCAAAATCCTGCATTATTTTCCGGACAACCCAATAATAAAAGCACTGTATAAGAACATCCACAAGTTTAGCTGAACCCCGCTTCAAGTCAGCATATATTTGGAGGATCAAATTAAAAGATCTATCGCAATCCAATGCTAATTTATATACTAATAACTGAACTTGCGAAATACAGGCAATATTCTTTTTAATATAAAATAAAAAATTATTTAATTTAAAAAAACTTTAAAAATTTATTATTCTCTAATGAACACAAAAGAATTGTCACATATTGCACTTAGTACAAGTTTGAATTTTCAACATACTCCCAATCAGAGCCGTTTAATTGCAGTGTCTCCTTTAAAAATAGAAATAAAACAAGGACTACACTTACAGCAAATCAAATGACAAGACATAAATATTAAAAACAACATTTTTTTTTTTAAATCACCTGATGCTTATTTATGACTAGAGATTCCCTACAAATTTCAGTAATTAAACTAATTAAATTTTATCTCAATGGTAGATCACACTATGGAGAACATTCTTCAAAAGGGTTGTACAATGCACTACATAAAACCACATGTAGTTAAAACACCTAATTAACAGTAACCCTAATTGAGGAAGACTAGTGGTGAAGAATAATGATCGGAATAGAACCCTACACAATAGACATAGTACGATTAGTCTCAATAGTAAAATGTAATTTTAATTTTAAATCGATGAATCTCAACAAGCTCGAATGAAAAGAAGTTTGGTCTATTTAATCAGTGCTGTTCAAAGCCAAAAACTTTTATAATTAAATAATTAACATGATTAAACCAGTATGTTGAACTTTCACTTGTCTCTATTCGCCTAAGACAAACGAATTCACGATAAAAAATTAAAATAAAATAGAATTATAAATCTGCCACTGCTTCCTATTTACAAATATCATTAGTTGTCCTTATATTTTATAACTGATCCTAAAATGCACTTTTCCACATCCTTGGACAAAATTTTACATAACTGGTTTAGTTTTGCCCACTTACCAAGACATTTTAAATGTAAAAAAAATAATTAAAGCATCAATTAAGTTAATTTGATGTCACTAACTTCACTATCTGTCCACTGTTACCCGTCCAAAGGAGGACCAAGGTACACCATCGATACCTCCGTATTTCCGTATACTGCTGAGACCGATGGATATAATTTTCTATCAGGGAGCCCTTAAATAAAAAAAAAAAAGAAATGTTAGAAAACCAATAATCATTTTTAAAATACAAAAAATAAAGTCTTAAGCAGGTTACCTCGAAAAGCAACACCTAGGAATTCATAATTTTTTTCAAATGATAAAGTGTTGTCATCACAGTCTAAGATCACTCGTATCCTCTCACCAACCTATAAATTGAAACCTAAAGTTATACACAGTAAAGTATTCACGATATGTGCCAACACATGAATGTTTATTGGGAATACACAAGTTGAAAAAGTCAGGCCAATTTAAAAACGCGTGTTCTCATGATTCAACTTTTGTTGATCAACTAAAGTTGAATGAAAATCGATCATGAGAACTTCCTGTTCAACAGAGTCGATGAAATTTTTAGTTGATCAACTAAATTTTGAACCAGAACTGAAACTTTTGTCATTCAAATTGAGACTTCTATTTAAATTGAGTCATTCATCTCAAATTGGAACATGAACTGAAATGTGCAAGCATCTCAGTTGACTGTTCTGTTTTTAACTTTTACACTACACATGTTGTTTTGTTTATAAATATCAGTTAACCAGAAAAGATCGTGGATTTTTAATTTGTTGTTGTTTTAATACTGTTAGTCAGTTCAGTAGAATGACCTCAATCATGATCTGTATAGTTTATATGCATTTGTTTATCAATTCTGTGTAAAACTGAAAAATAAAATACTTCATTATTATTACTGTTAAACAACATTTCCATATCCATAGGAGGATTAGGTGTTTACATCTTGTAATTCCACAGGATAACGCGTCAGTCAGAAAGAAAAGTGTCGAACTGTCCACTGTCAATTAGAATATATTTTCTTTTTCATGGCTTCAAACCCATAATTTGTAGACTGCTTATGGTATGATTTTAGCTTGGTGATAGGGGGGCCGGAGGCAGCTTGTAAAATGTGCATTGCATTCCGTGATGAAACAATAAGTGAGCACATTGCCCAAAAGTGGTTCAAAAAGAACTTGACAAATTATCCTCTAGGTATTATAGGATGTAAACCCCTAATCCTGCTATGTAAATAGAAAGGTTGATTAACAGTATTAAAACAAATAAAACTGCATGAATTTGTACCTGGTAGTTACAAAATGTACATTAAACTTGACGTCAAATTTCATCATAAGCCAGATTTATTATAGCAAAAATTAAGATAGTTGCCTTTTGTCTTGGACTACCAGGTATCTTCTTTGGTTCAAACTTTGTCAACATTTATGATAACTATAATGAAAACGTTTTCTCAACCTTTAAAATTTTATCTAACTATTCTTTTGGAATCACCCACTTATATATAAAAATATATGTAATATATAGAAAAATATTTTAGTTCTAGGTCACCATACTGTATCGTAATAACCAAATTCACAGTTAACAGCAAAATAAGTATGCTTTTTGCCTTGGATTTCCGAATGCCAATTGCCGCTGAACATTTGTCAAGTCTCAAGATGCTCTTCTTGCATGCACCAAATAGTGTGCTTATGTATACACATATTATGCAGGGTTTGTAAAACCACCCAGTTTATGCAGAAACAGCGAATATTCACCAAGTACCATGTGAGTCCTCAAGTTACTACCAATCATGTTGGACAACAGTGAAACCATCATTGCTGCAGCTGTGGTTACTGTAAACTCAGTTTCTGTTGCCCCATCTTATTTTTAGTCTGTTTCCACGCATCGAAAGCCTCGATTTGATTTTTGTGATTTGAAAGAGAAGCGTGCGAAATTATTGGTTCAGCTTGGTAAAAATCAAGGAACTCCAATATCGTTATGTTGGGCCAATCCATTCCTAACCAACAGAAACAATGCTATGATGTTCTATCATTAATACATCTACATTAGTTAGGAATCTTTTATTATTGAAAAATAAATAGCAGCTGAAGATCATAGGTTCGAAAACCATTTGTGACACTAACTTTTTCATCTCAACCAAGACCTTAGATAAAAAGAATAAATGATTAAAATAATTAACCATATTAATTATCCTTTTTATCTAAGGTCTTGGTTGAGATGAAAAAGTTAGTCACAAGCTGGATTCGAACCCACGACCTTCAGTTCAATACAATTAATTAAGGTTTTTAGTTGAGATGAAAAAAGTTAATGGCACGAGGGGGATTCGAACCCACGACCTTTGGCTAGATATGCCGCTGCTCTACCACCTGAGCTATCGTGACCTCGATCCACTCAGACATCAACTCCCCATCTCAAGTGGTAGAGCAGCGGTGTATCTAGCCGAAGGTCGTGGGTTTGAATCCCTCTCGTGCCATTAACTTTTTTCATCTCAACTAAAAACCTTAATTAATTGTAATGATTTAATTGGTCAAGCGGACCACGAAATTAGTGAACTTCAGTTCAATATGCTGCTGCTCTACCCGAGGGAATCACGAGTGAGAGTATTGAAGACACAATGCTCAAGTGGTCAGAACAGCAGCGTATTGAGCCAAAGGTCATGGGTTCGAATCCCGCTCGTGGCCTAACTTTTTCATCTCAACCAAGGCTTGGATGGAAAGAATAATTAATTGAAATAAATGTTAGTGTTGATTGGTGATTACAGTCGATATCCGTACAGTACAGTTGGTTCCCCAATGTGTGGATGCTTTGAATTCGGCTACTTCACAAATATTTATACACTTTGAAGTGGACAAGGAAACTGACAATTAGCGAAACGTTGGTCGGCGAATAACCAAGCAACCATCCCCACTAGTCGGGATTCAATGAACCTTTGCTCGGCATTCTGGAGCCATCTTAATACGAATAAAACGACTAAATCTTGAGAACACACTTTTAAAAGTCAAGAATATTGTCATAAAAATGAAAAATAAATAACATTTATCAGATATGAGATATTTTCTTGAGGAGTGTGAGGTGGTGAATTGGTAGTTTGGTCATAATTCAATCATCCTTGCTTGCCATCTTCTGTAGTGGTGGGGTGACAAAATGCTTCTGAGACATGTTCATCATCTCACGTTGATCATCAGAATAATGAACTTAAACACATCCTTCTTTCCAGAGGGTTCAAATATGAAAGTAATAGTGAACAATTGTCATTAAACTGATGGTAATGTAATATTAGGAAGGAGTCCAGGGAGGTGATGGGATGGTGGAGCGTACCTGGTATTTGGGGGCGTTGTTGAGAAGGGGGTAGTTTTCTTGGGAATCGCCGTTGTGGAGAAGGTGGTTGTCGACTAGGTTCCATCCCCAGCTCTGGTCGTCTGAGCCCAAGAGCGGGACGTAGCCGTGGCATTGGAGAGGAGCCTCTTTGGTCGCTATGCCGATGACGGCCACCGTGCCGAGCGGCCCTTCCCAGATCACCTCCCAGGCGTGGCGGCCGTGGCGGAAGCCGATTTTCCCCCGGGAGGCGTCTGTGCTCTGGGCCACCGGGTTCCTGTGGAGTGTGAACCCGTTCGGTTTGATGTACACGTTCCTCGAGCAGTCGTTCGGGTTCCAGGCGTGGTAGAAGGCGCGCAGCTTCGCCTTGTACGTCGGGACGGAGGAGAGCAGGTCCGACTTGAGGGCCTCCTCGGCCAATTTCCGGACGCAGTGCAGCCTCCAGACGTCGTTGTTTTCGTCGTTTAAAAAACTATACCACTTCTTACACACTAGAGAACAGTTTCTCAGGTCATGGAGGTCCAAGTACGAGAATATAACTTCCAATGCCGAGTCCGGGAGCGTCGCCGCTATCTCTTCCACCATTTTCCCCGTCGGTTTCGGAACTTTTCTCTCCCTGCAACAATTTTTGCTTTTCGACGGACTACACAACTTCCTTCCACCGGTCTCTATGAGCAGTTCCATTATAATACGGAGAACACACTGTTTACATGATGTCGATTTTAATTCCCGACGATCATTTATTTGTTTTTGAGGTTAAGTTGCGAATTATCATTTTTCGGGAGGATACGCCGTACGGAGTACGAGCCACAGACGGACGACCGAGTCTTAGAAGTGGGCAAGCCTCCATCGGCTCGTAAACAAACCCCCACCAAATCTTGGCAATGAGGTCATTGCATGCTTTACAACGACTCCCCCCACTATTTTGGAGGATCGAAACATTTCTTGGTATAATTGGGTCATTACAGATTCCAAGAACAAGTAGGAGTAGAGGGAAACTAGAGAGCTGACGCCATTGCAAGGAAGGGGCTGCTATACCACAAAAGAAAATTAGGAAATAGAGGAATTCACTCATTGACTACAAACAATCCAAGGACGACCTAGAAAATTTTGGAAGGAAAGAAGTAATAAAATGCCTTAAAGGAAGCAGGAAAAAACTGCGAATCCTAACAGGACACTAAAGACTGAATCGGCAAGAAGAATGGTATAAGAACCTGACACCAACGCACCTACTAACCAACCATGGTGCATTTGCTCACTGGAGGTGTTTTTGGGATGTACATTCTAATCGTAGAAGAACTTCAACCCCTGAGACTAATCAAGTTCTTTGATGAATTAAGACTCACCGGTAGTCACATTCACAGAAAGGGGGGATAGAATAGCTTAAACGACGCACTATACTACATACCTAAACTAAACTATATCTGCGCTAATGTGGTTGATATTGGAGAGCTGGGAATGGGTTTTTGATTATTTGTAGTGTTTTGGCTGGTGTTAAATGATAATTTTAACCCAACAACCTTTTGCCGAAACAATACAAACCGAGAGTCAATCTACCAAATAAAGAAGTCGACACCAATGTGGTAATCATTGAGTTTACGTCGAAATGTTGGAAGGTCGTACAGAAAAATGTCGGTTCTTTGTCGGGACTGTTGTGACTTCAGAAGGCGCGGATGCTGATTGGCCGAGCGACGTCGCACGTGACCAAATAACGAAATCAGCTGTTGAGGTCGACCGCGCCAAGGCCCCAAGCTTTACAAGTCGACACGGCCGCCGAGGTGTGGAGCTGAAATATCTCCGGAGCGTAAAACGAATTTCGTGCTGTTAAGGACGTTTTTTCCTGTTCCGCGGGTGGACCCTTTATACGGCCCTCGTCAACGGACGGCGACCCTTCGGCTTTCGGCGAGTTTCAACGGATTTAATCCGGTTGACACACGACTGTTTTCGTCGCCATTTTGCGTAAATAAATCCACGGATTTTTCCCGCAAATGACATTATCCGACGCATCCCGGTGAATTTCTTAGATGTTCCCGTCCTAGTCGTAAACCCCGATTTTCCGAGAAAATGTCTCAACCGACCGGGACCTTCAATTTCGTCATCCACGACAAAAATGGTAAGACAGAATTTTATCTTATAAATTGAAATTGCGTTCCTTTGGAGGCCGCCGTCCGCCTCCGTGGGAGCGGAAAACCGCGGATGTGGCGGAGGAAGAAGGCGTACGAGACGGTGAGACCGGAGACGCCACGATTTGCCATCCCCCCGGGGCCAGAAACGCGGAGGTCCACGAGGCTGGCTTCGTATCCTTTCCCTTTCGCCGCCGGCCCCCGTCTCGGCCGCCTACGCCCTGGACCACGGCCCGACACCCTTTCTCCGTCACCCTGCCCACATCCCTTCACCAAGCTTCCTGGAATTCCTGGAAAACGACTCCTTTTTTAACCTAACATGTCGTCACCCATCTCTCTCCTTTTCACCTCCACAGTTCGCCTCGTTTCCAGAATCGCTTTTTTTTCGTTCCAGGGAACCCGCAGTACATCAAAGTACAAAAGTCCCAGGCCAAGTCCGGGAAGCCCGAGACTGTTAAGATCGTAGCACCGAAACCCACAACAACAACCGCACAGGTCTATTATTAGGACGCTTCTTTCCCTTTATTTACATTTCTAGATTCATTTTTCAATTTTGCCTTTCAATTCTTTCTTCTTTGTTTTTCTGCCGTTCCGAACAGGTGATAAATACGTCGGGAGCGACCATCATCCCAGGATCTCAAATTTTAAGGACGGTCAAACTCCAAGGAAAATCAGCAAGTGAGTTCGAAACCGGCGCTTTTTTCTTCAATTTTATCAGCATTTTTAGATCCCACTCCCGCACGTTTTCCAAACCGATTACGACCGATTTTTCCAATTTTGCCGCTCTTATTTACTTTTACGGCCAGAAACGTGTCGGCCAGATACAGCTTTCCTCTGTAGGGTGCCTTTTCACTTTTCACTCAGTTTGACGTTGCGTTCCCATCAACTCTCGTCGCACTTTCAAACGCTGATACCAATTTTATATTTTACAAAAGGAAACGAATTTCCACCAATTAATCACTTTGATTAAAATTGGATCTAGTCTCATAATTGGGAATTAAAACGGCCAGATAAATTTTATCGATAAATAAAAAATAAAAAAAATTGAGAAACGACTTTTTGTTTTTATTAGGAGATTATACTTTATTTCCTGTAATCGGTGACACGACCGTTCAACTGTAGATATTCATGTCCGCATTTTTAATTTGGCGGTGTTGATAAAAATAGTCACACTCGCAATATTTATAATTCATATCATTTTCTTAGAATTACTGACAGTATAATCATATTTCTTTTGTGCTTAGCTGAAATACTGTACCTTAGGATTAGAGACTGTTTGTCGTTGGTTCTATAAGCAGTTTTGTCCTATGGACATACTGTTGACGTTAAAATGTTGCATTGTCAGGAAATAAAATAATTCAAATACAGTTATGATGACAGCCATCAACATAATACGAAGACAAAAAAAAGACTTCTATTTATTTGTTAGCGTAATAACTTCTATAAACTATAAACTTGACTAAAAATGCAAACAACATTTAGATAATAACTTAAGGAGGGAAAACTCATAAGGTGGGGTTGAGATAGGAAGTTGATGTCCGAGTGGATCAAGGTCACGATAGCTCAAGTGGCAGAGCAGCGGCGTATCTAGCTGAATGTCGTGGGTTCGAATCCCGCTCGTGCCATTAACTTTTTTCATTTCAACTAAAAACCTTAATTAATTGTAATGACTTTTAAGAGTTACTAATCCTTTTACACCATTTAGATTAAAAAGAAAGAAAATCTGTTCAATTTCATCCTTTCCAGAGCCTGTTTGTTGAATGAATTAGTTGAGTTTTTTTATGTTGTTTTCTTTGAAGAAACAGTAAATTGTCGTAAAAATTGAATATTGTTTTATTAAAAGCAAGGTTTTAAGTCAAGATCTTGCTTGGGCAGATGCTTTGGTGAGCGATGGATGGATGTGTTACATAGTGCAAGTCCTGGGCATGCTATGCTCTTATCATCTACGATGGTTTTGATCAAAAAGAAGATAGTGGTCGACCAAGATGTACAGCAGGCAGAGACAATAGTTTTATTGCTCTTACCACACTACAGAACCATCATTTAACTGTTTCTTGATAGGCAGTCGACTCCAAACAGCCTGTAATGAAAGGGTGAACTCTAAAACATTCATCAGAATGCCTTGTGATAATAGTCTAATCTTTAGACGTCCTGGATGGTGTTTTACTATTGGAGATGCATTGAGTAGAAAAGCGACTCTTTTCAAATTTGCATCTAGCTTGGATACTTGAACAATGGAGAGGGGGGCTGTTCTCTTCATAGAAGAGCGCCAGTTTAGTTGACCAGGCTGTGTTTGAAAACATGGAGAATTCTTTGCTTCATGCACGAGTTGCAGCCTTTTTAAAGACAGTCAGTTATGGCACTGGGACGAATCAACATCCATGCACATACTAACTGATTACCTTACTTTATAGTACTTGGTTATTTGGGATAGGGATAACCTAGGATGCATTGGGATTTGAGTGATAGTAAGACGGTAGACTGCGGAAGCGTAATTGCTCCAAGCAGGTGGAGATATTACCAGGAAAAATAAGGAATAGAGGAAAATGTCCTCTGTTGGTGTGAATGCCTATATAGGCTGAGATTCTACATCTGAGAGAGGAAAAGCCAAGCTTGAAGAATACCCTTGAGAGCCCTTAAAGCTTTGAGATGTGATAAAAAGTTTTAAGCTGTAGATGTTAATTGATATTACATAATTCACCAATATTGGTCAGGGTACGCCTTTTAAACTTAAACTAGGGATGGGATAGGGAATTATGGATTGTAGGTTGCCGGTGTTTTACTTTGTTTAAGACTCAAACGGCAGTCTGATTATGTAATAAGAATGGATTTTGACTTTTCAGTTTGTCCTTTGTTGAAGTGTTAAGTTTTGCATGAATTCTGCTTGGAAGACTGTGGTATGCCACACTATCAAGGGAAGTGAAGTTGTATGATATAATGTTTTTGGTTTTTCAAGTTATCTCTGAATTTCAATCTGCTCATTACGAAATCATCAAGCATTTCCTAACACACTGTTAAAATCTATAATTAATATATATTTAATCTCTATGCCAGTTGTGCAGATCAGAGCATAAAAAACAGTGATCTAATCATATAATCAGTCTTAAATTGAATGCCTCAAAGCTATGTCTACTACTTTCAGTCCTTGGATCGTACTGCACTAAGTTATTAAGTATAACGTACTAGAAAATGTCAGATAGCCCTAAGCTCTATTGTTGACTCATAAGGGAAGGGCCTACCATATGTTGATATATCATAATCACACTCTGATATGAATTTATCTCACGAATCCTTCCAAAGCATGGCCTTTTTAAGTATATCATTCAAAGTTCAATTTTTATTACTCTTTAATTGTCTTGGTAGTGTCTTAAGCACAACATTGCATTTGTTATTAATTAAATTTATATAAGTAACAGCCTATTTATACCATATTTAACTAAAAATAATTGAATGAAAAGAACAATAATTAAACCATTTTTTTGTATTACAACAGTAATGATAGTAAATTTGATTCTCTGTTAGTTGAATTGAGCATTTCTGATTTTGTTGATTCATTTAATTTTGGCAGAAGGATTGAATGTAGTTTTGCAAGAATTTGTTTTAAGTATTCGTTTGTTATATTAATTACAGGAAGGACTTGATTTTTTATACATTCAAGATTGAATTTACCCTTTTTCTTGGAAATTATTCTTTTATCATTGTTATTGATTTATAAATAACGTATTTGTAATAAAGTCTTATCTATAAGAGTGTAATATTAATGCCAAAAACTTTTTGGTTCTGGAATTTTTAAACAATTGACATCAGTAGATTTAAAAAGTAATTATTGCAACAGTTTAAATTCCCAAATGTATCATATACTTTAAAAAACCACATTATTCTTTTTCTTATCAAGTCAGCTGTAATCTTGTACAATTGGACTTAACATTTATTGGGAATAGCTCAATGTTTATTTTAGAGGTGTTTTCAGATAAGATGACTTAAGGTAAATTGATAACTAGTTGGTCTTAAACTAAGCAAAAAAAAACTTGATCTCGTGTCTTGAGATGAGAGTACACAAACTTTATTTGGTTCTGTAAGATTAGGGCTATAGAGATAAAAGTTGATATATTAGAGTATGTCCTTCCTTATCTTTAAGCATAGATCCATTTAAAACATGGAAAAAGTAATGGCAAGGTTATTTACATTTAATATACAAATAAAACGACTGAATTACATGTAGTTTTTAAAGGGAAGGATTTTTTTGATTAATAAATAATTGAGAAGTTTTCATCATCTTCCAAACTTTTTGAGTGTGTGTGCATAAGTTTTTTCGTTTTGTCAAATTTCGACTTTAATCTTTCCTGGACTTCTCCCTTACGTGCTAGTCCCTATTCTATTGAAAGATATCGTTAAGAAAGGGGTATTTAATCCTAAAACTCAGTCTAGAATGAACTGCTACAAGTACAACGTGGAAGCAGAAAAACAGACCCAGTTCGTCCAACGATGTGGTACACCGTAAATTTGGGGTGATACCTTTTTTGCCAGACCCCACCCCACCCCAGTGGCATGTGACCAATGTTAAGAGTAAACCCTCCAAATCACCCGGCCCAATGGACTTTTGATTTTTCTTCCTCCCCTATTCTGGTTGAGAAACTCCTCTCTATAAAGGGGTTTGTTTTGAAAGGGATTACATTAGGAAATCCATTCAACTCTGGAAGTTAAGTACACAACGTCTAGGACTATGCAAGCCAGAGCCAGCAAGGACCAGCAGTTACGACCAGTCGATAAAGTCGACAAGGAAGGTGCAGAAGAGAATCTGGAAGGGTGCTGAACATGATGTGGAAGCTGATATTGCAGGCTTTCTTTGTCTCTCATCTACATCTAAATCTACAATAAGTGTAGAAGAATATATCTCCCTGGCTTATTGAATACTAGAACCATACCTTCCACTACACAAAAAGTAGCTATGTCTGTATGCTGTATTGTCTTCAAATTAGTCACAATTCATTGTGCTGTGAGCCTTCTTATATATATAATGTGGGGAGTTACGGGCCGACAACCAGCAGAGGTCACCATTGACCCTCTTTGTGTACCTTCTTTTTTTCCAATTTTTCACATGTTATATGTAATCGATATACTAAAATGCAATATAATACGGTTATTGTATTAATATAAATAGTTCTCAATATAAATGACACTGATATGCATTAATTAATTTTGCTATTGATCAAATAATAATAACAAACAAATATTATCTTGAAACAATAATAAAAACCTTTAAAAAAGTAACATAGGTTGAATGTTTAAAATCGGGATTAGAAGTTAATTTTTAATTTAAAAAAAAGGCTTAGAGAATGTACTTAAATGTGTTAAAAAAAAGCAGTTAATAACTGTTTGTAAGTACATTTTTAGTACAGAAGATAATGAAAAATGTCTATAGTGGAAAGCTGTGTATGAAAGAGCTCCAGAATATCCTTACCCACCTCCACCTCCTTTTCATGAAGTTGGTTGTAAGTTGTTACTCCTTGATATATGTGTAAATTTTTTTTAACAAAACAATATTTTTTTAATACATTTTCTAAGGACAATTTGTAACACTTCCTGTTCAAACACCAGTTCAGAGCGTTATCAAACAGGAACGTTCTACAGTACAAACAACCACACCAAAATCTATTCAAATCACATCTCCTCAGCAGTTAACCGTAAGTTGTATTTATCTATATTTAAAAGGAGAGTTCAACTTTAAAGTAACAATTATTTTTTACAATTGCAGATCGTACCTCAGCAAAACAATATAAAAACTTATTATGTCACACCGGTAATTGAGACCAATGGGAACAAGAAGAGAATCGACGAAGCAGAATATAATGAATTGTTGTAATATTTGTATTTCATTTTGAAGTTCTTTATCTTACAAACCAATTGTCTTGTTTTTAGTAATGCGGTCTTTTCTTTTGCTGACAGAAGCCAATACCAACAAAATGTCAAGAGGAGGAAAACAGAAAAAGGTGGTAAAGGTCTTAGACATTTTTCTATGAAAGTGTGTGAAAAAGTCAAAATGAAAGGCCTAACCTCCTACAATGAAGTTGCGGACGAGCTCGTTTCAGAGTTCACTGATCCGAAACACATACCTAACAGTGTCGATCAGGTAATTCATAAATTAGACCCATTGTCTTGTCTACATATGTCATTGTTTAATAACTGTTGTAGCAATATGATCAGAAGAACATCAGGCGGAGAGTGTATGACGCCCTCAACGTCCTCATGGCAATGAATATAATTTCAAAAGAGAAAAAGGAAATTAGATGGTTGGGTCTGCCGACCACATCAGCTCAGGAAAATGACAGTTTACAGAATGAAAAGAAACAAGTTGCAGAGCGAATACGTACTAAAACGCAATATCTGAATGAACTTATTTTACAGGTGTGTTCTTTTCTTAGAATTTTGTTTCAATTGTTAATTACAAATGTTGAAAATTAAACTAAAACAACTATTTTTGAAAACTGAATAAAGATCGATTTGTGTTTTACGACGGAACATCGTCACGTCTGTGACCAGCAACGTAACAAAATCTTGCCGTTAATTCACACTTTACATTACTGCACCACTGTGAATAGTTCTAATTTGTTCTATACTACATTTTCTGATGATGGCCAGATTAAATGGAAGAAAATTAACGATGGTCGTATTAATTTTGGATGAGGAAGAAACGGACAGCAATGTACCTAAGAAAAGAAAATAGTTACGCAAGATATTTACAACACGAAATCAAGAAGGAAAATACTATAACCTGTTAAAGAATTAGAGGATGATGAAATATCCTTTTATAAATACTTTAGAATGGCTCCCAATTTTATGTGCTTTTAAGTAAAATTGGAAACAATTCAAAAGTACACTTTCATGACGAAATGATAAAATTTAATTTGAAACACTCAACAGTTCCTGATATTGAGGGTGCGTTCCGTTACATCTGTGTGAATATTAGCATAAGAAATCTATAATACAATATTTTGACATTACGTTACTGGTCCCTGACATGTTGATATTCTATAAACTGCGAATCAACCTTAAGTAGCCTGTTAGTATGAAGTACAGCGTAGAAAAACAAGGTTTTAAAACTATGTCATGTATGTTCATGTACATAGGAAATTTTGTTTTAAAATAAAATGTACTGCCAATACAGCTGATATATTAAGGGTTACAGATAAATTGCAATGTTCACACTTGTAGCAAGGTCGAACATCTTCGAGCTTGTTCAGTTAGTTCAAAGGTCACTCGACCTTCCTCTGCAATTTCAAATTATCGATTCCAAACATGAAAAACGAAGTGCTTGTTTTAGAATTATTGTTATTACCCCAAATAAAAAAATAAAAGGAAAAGGAAGGCGCATGTTGATGTATCTCATATTATCGAGCAATTGAAGAAAGTTTTTTTTAATGTTGTTGCCTCAATTAAAGGAGGATGAAGATTTTACAAGGATTATTTCCCATTTTTATGCAAAGACGGTTGAAAAGAAAAATTAAGAGTGTTTCTTCTCAACTGTTTTATAAATAATTAAATAATTCTACAAGGATGTTCAGTCTCATTTTATGAGCTTCTCAGTGCTGAATTTCTTTAGAATTTTTCATGTTCCAAATTGATGATCTTTCTTCGATGATGAATGAGTCATTTATTTTATCTACACTGATCAAATTTTATTTTAAAAAGAACAACGCTAAAATCATTTACCTTAGCCAAAGCTTCTCAGGCCACCGCTGTGGTATCAACGGAAAGCAAAATACCCTTTCAACACCACCATTGGAAAAACATTGAATGATGGTGATTAGTGACCGTTAATCGATAATTATTCAGAAATCGTGAGATGCGGTCTGGTGTGATGTAGGTTTCAGAAAAATATTATTCTTTATCGTGCCAACGTTTTGATCTGTATTGAGCCCTGAAGATGATATCAATAAAGATCAAAACGTTGGCACGATAAAGAATAATATTTTTCTGAAACCTACATCACACCAGACCGCATCTCACGATTTCTGAATATTTATTGAATGATGGGTTGACACAGCCACTGTGGTGCTGCTTATTGCCTTCGGTGAAACCTTAAGCATAGCCAGGAAGCCTGCGATGTCAGATAAAACATCCAGCTTTGAACTAAAGAATGATCCTCCATCAAGATGACAAAATCCACTTTTTGTGAACTTAGCATAAATGTCTGGAATCGTGAGTTTTTTTTAGTGGAATATTACTCACAATTTTTTATCATATTTTTTAAATTGATGTGGTCAAAAAGCGTGTTATATTGGAGTCCACTTCAAGGTAAATAAGTCTCATACAAATGCGGGTAATATTTATCATCACCCTACCATTTACAGTTAAAGGGCCATACTTTTAATTTTGAATTTAAATTGGAACTTGTACAGTAAAATATGATTACATTTTGTTTCTAGTATTTTTTTTTTTTTTTTAAATAATTTAAGCTTTATTTTTTAGCAAATTTTATACAAGAGTGTTATTCAGAGGAATTATGAACTGGAAAAGGTCCGTGGGCCTCCTGTCCCAAACTCAGCCATCCAATTACCTTTCATTGTTGTGAACAGTGATAAAAAAACAATTATTGATTGCTCAATAACAAATGACAAGTTAGTCTTATTTTGAGCTAAGATTATTTTTTGATTTGAGTACAAAAAATAATAATGGTGTAATTCTTTCAGATCTGAGTACTTGTTTGTATTTAATGATAAGTTCAAAATAACCGATGATTTTGATGTATTAAAACAAATAGGCTTAACACATGGTAAGTTGACATTATAAGAACTATAAGGTTAAATAAATTATTACATTTAATTTAACAATGAACTATTGTGCTTTAGGTCTCGAAGATGGTACTATCTCAAGATCAAACATTGAAAAGTTGAAAACACTTGTTCCAAAAAATTTGGAAAAGTATATCGACAGTAAGTAATTTGTATTTGTATGTATATATATTTTATACCCTCTATCCTCTTCTTCCGTCTATCTGATTTTTCGCCCCTTGTCTGCCAAATGACCTCAGTTTTATCTTTTACCCTGTATATTATATAGTAATTTTAATTATAGTACATAGTAATTTTCAGATATATTTTTGTTGGGCTTTTTATTTATTTATTTTTTATATACACAATAATAGTAATTCCTGTCTGGCAGACGGTTTTTATCCATATTTTATGTTATGGCATATATTTTATTTTGTTTTGTAAACATTTTGTATTAATTATTCATTTTTATTAATTCCTGACATAAAGGAGGGCTTAATGCCCAGGCTTTGTTGGGATTTGAACTCGGCACCACTAGCGGGGAAATGCACCTTAACCCCTCGGCCTCCATGGTCTCCCTAATTTTTATGTACAGTCAACTTGATAATTCAAACTCAAGGGACAAAAATAATCTGATTATCAAGAGGAAAGAAAATCAAATTATTAAAAGTTGATATGCATTTTTACAAGTTATTACTTGAATTACATAAAAGTAATAAGTGGAAATAGATTAACTGGACCATTGAACATTGTTAAGCACTTAAAAAAATAAAAATTAAAAAAAAATACATGAAGCAACCTTTGTCTAAATGATTTTCCAAAGGCCAATGCTGAAAAGCACATCGACAAAACACTGACCACCAAACATAACTAGAGAAAATTAGAAGAAACTTTAGGCTGTAAGGAAGAAAACAATACTTGAAAATTTAGAGGAATATTACAAAGAAAAAATAAATATTTTGAACAAAATTGGTGCAATATAAAAGGAGTAAGAGTGATTCAAAGCAAACTCTTTGAAAATTGATGTATAATGCAAAATAAATCAGGTCGAAGGCTATAGTCCATGTTTTAACATCTAATGTCATTCCCAAAAACGATTCTCTTGGAAACATATTCTAATTTTTTCTCCTTCCTCAGAAATGGTCATCGATGCCGCTAATAGAGGAGAAGCCAATACTCCCAGCCAAAATGACGGTGAACATATATTTGGAAATTTGCCTTTGGAAGATTGTATTGAGGATTCTGCGGGAACTTCTGCAGATGGGTATACAAATATGGAAGACGCAGGTGTACTGGAGTCGGATGAAGAGTCAAACATATCTACAGACATCGAAATTAACTAAGGTTATAAAAAGTATTGACAACATGGTTTTTCTTTGCTGTCCGTCTGCGGCAAATCCACATTCTCGTTCGGTGTTAATAAAGAACGAACCCGCCTCTGTACAAAATCAAACATTCTTTTTTATGTACAGGTGATTTTTATTTTTATTTTTTAATTCACCTCATTAGTATTTAAGTTCAAAGTTAAAGTTTAAGTTCAAAGCACAATTTGCAAAGTATATTATTTGTTATATTTTTCAAAGAACTGCAGTTTTTTTTAAATTCCAGTTTAAACAATAAAAAGCTTTACGTTAATGGTGCCTAATGCAGTTTCTATTTCAATTTAATGTAAACACTTTATTTATGTAGTACATTCATTTGGGTATATTCATTTTATTCAAAAACTATTTATAAACCAACCTCATGCCATTCAAATTTTAAACACAAAACAAAAGACAGGTTTAATTTTTATCATTATATATCACCTAAACTTTTGGAATGTCGCTTTTTTTTATTGTTATTTTTTTATTGTTTTAAGTACACCAGCAAAGTTCTGACAGTCAGTTAAAATAATTTTAGTTTAAGCTCTTTTACCCACCATTTGTAGTATGTATATTATAGTTGACAACTGTAATAAAACAATTGTGCTTAAGTTACGAGTATTTCGTCTAAATTTCGATTAAGTGATATATTTGCAGTATCAGTATGACCCGATCGTATAACGTTATTAAATATTTATTTATTGCTCAGAAGTAATGTTAACATTTCTTATTTATTAGTTAACCGAATGAAATAAATGATGGTATTTAAGGTACAAATTAATTTGGCAGTTGATCAGAACTTTGTTTTCTGCACATTCTATTGCTTACTATTAATCTTTTATAAATACTTGTCACTGTCATCCCTAGTCAGAAGCATTTCTTACACCTTTGTTCTCCATGCATAAAAACTTTATTTTATTCCAATACAAGTGAGATAATAGACAATAAATGTCTTGGAAGTATACAGTTTGTATAAGAGATATTTTCTAAAAACTAAAAAGAACGAAATCTGTCCTCAATTATAAATTGAAATTTGTGAGTGTAAGATAGAATTTTTTAATTTAATATAAGTTGTCATCGCCATATTGTTTACCTGATAATTTTATATGCTCTTATGAACTTAGATAGCTTATAATTTTAGGTTATAGCATTTTTTTTTAAGTTTAGTAAAAAAAAATCCAATGTGAACATTACCCTCTCCCCGCTGGCTAATAGTTTTGTTTTTAAATATGTATTTCAACTGTGTAATACAAAATGTGTGCAAAATGGATTGTATGCACCTGGCATTGTAACAAAATAATGTACATATATTTTGTGAATTTCTGTATGAAAATTTCTGTATTTTTTAAAAGTTTCAGACCGTATTTTATATAAATTCTGCACACCCTAAAGAAAGGAAAAAAGACGAGTTGTTTAATTTGTAAAAATTCCTTTATTCAAGCTTGTAAAGACATTCATTCTGGTAAATAAGTTAACTTTTTGGTGTTTAATACTAATACAGACATCTATTCCATTAAATCTTCGTCGTCGTAGAGGTCTTCAAAATCTGAAAAGAATTTGTTTAATTTGAATATACGTAATTTATATTTTAGAAGAACAAAAATTAATTAGTACTGAGCTAGCATTTAAAAGGGGAAAAGAAAATGGAAAAAATAATAGTTCACCAAGGAATAGGGAATTATTACAAAATTACTAAGAACTAAATTTTTCACAAGGGAAATGTTATTGATTTTAATACATTTACAGGCTGCAGGCCTGACTGGCTGAATTGATTGAAATTGTCACCTGCATAGGAAAGTAGGTGGAGTTGACAACTTCAGTTAAAATGTTAATTAAAAATATATATTTAAATTATTTTTATTGGTCTTACCATTAAAAAAATCAGCATGCACTGACTTTTCATTTGCAGCCAGATCCAAAAGAAGTGCACTAGGCCCTCCACTCTAATAATAATAATAAAAATTATTGAATGATTTGTGCTAAAACTTGCAAAATTTCAATTTATATATTAAAATTGAAATAAATTTGAAGTAATTTATAATTATATAAGGATAATATCTAATATAATTTACATCTGAACCACTGGATATAAGCTTTAAGACCTCTATCAGATAAGGCAGCTAGTTTAATGGACAAGTGTTGAGGAGTGAAGGCAAGTAGCAAATGATGGGAACTACCAGAACCCCTTCACATGCAGTCAATCGTCATTTGCCCAGCAGGCATGAGAACCCATCACCATGCTCAACATTGTGGTCACAAGTGCATAGAACAAATTCCAATAAGGGTCAATGACACAAACAGCTATTTTGGCCTAAGCTTTTATTGAAAGAAAAACCGAGTTGGTGAGTTGTCTGAAGTTGTAGTATTGTGCTGACACAAGTAGCTATGTGTACCACCTATTTGTTTTGCAACCGAGTTGGGTAGTGTTCTAGACGACCTTTACAAGTTGGGCTTTGAAAATGTGAGATGAGATTTAGAAGTTGCGTTGTATCTTTATTTTATTATATTGAGTTCCAAAATGCAAAAAAATAAATGGAAAACATTGATCAGTAAATTGAGGTTGAAACAACTGCTTTGTGGGACATGAGAACTTATACATTTATTTAATGAAAATCACAACAATATGTGATTTATTTACCTAGTAATAAGGCATTTTGCAAAATTCTAGGAAAGAGAAATTAACAAAAAGCAGGGTTAGGTTAATCATTATTTTTACAAAATTGAGAAATTCATTTTTTGCTGGATTGTTTTTGGAACTGACTACAGAAATTCCTTGAAATTGAGTTATGCTCAACCGAATGATAAACGTTTCATTGAATCACTATGTCATAAACTTGGAAAAAACCAACCCAATAAATTGAATGCCATTTAGAGGAAGAAAACCAGTGCCTTAGCGACCGGAGGTCCAGCAAATGATTGAAGAAATAAAAAAGTTAAGCGAGATGATTCGTTAAGAGAATGAAAAATAACACTTGGTCAATTGTAATAGAACCACCCCTGATCTACAATTAAACTGCTGGTCGATCACTACGTCCTTAGGCCATGTTCACAAGGAGGCAGTATGAGAGATGCTTATGTGATTATGGTATGAGATACAAAAAGTATCAAGGTGACTAGATTCAATCGCGTCCCATTAATCTCTTATCGAGCTGTTTGAAGATCCAGATGTTTGCTACTGTAATATTTTTATAATGGACAAGTTAGAAGCTCTCTGGTATTTAATTAGGTTAAAAAAAGAAGTAATGGCTCACCCATATATTTGAACTAATGAAAATAATTTGTCATTACCAAAAATGTCCCTTCTAGTCATTTTTTTAAAATGTTTAAAAAGAAGGCATGAAATTAGAATCAGAGTTCAGACAGAGCAATGAACTGTGTGAATGAGACCATGGTGCACAATGTCCTGTCAGATGACTGGAAATCGTTCTCAAACTGTCGCCTTCCAGTCTCCCTGTCTGAATGACGGGATTTGTCCCTACGTCTCCTTTGTATGAACCGTTCCTTGTAGACCAACACCTTCAGATACAAGTAACATCTATCATGAACAACCTCAGTTACCAAATAAATTTTTAAAGAAACATCGCCTCTTTGTTTTCAGGCCTGGTTTAAACTGACATTTTAATTTTTATAATAACGATGTACCTCCTCCATGTCCATGTAAGGGCCGGCACCCTCCGGAAACATTTCATCCGCCACAATCGTCGGTTTCATGTCTTGACCCTTTTGACCTTTGTTGACTGACAGCTTGGACGATTTTTGAAAATAATTTTCAAACGAATTGACAGATTTTCCTTCTTTTATAGACACTGATTGACTGACTGAGACCTGAGAGGTTTCCTTCACTGTTGACCACTTATCTCGATCCGTCCGTTCGCGTGTATTTTGATAGTGATAAAAGGTGAAAGTCAACTAGGAACCAGTTGGCAGTCTATTCTTAGAGTGAATTCGAAATATTTTCTCCAGATATTTTTAAATTAGCAATATTTGGAAGGAATCTGTTTCTTTAGTTGGAAGTTTATGTTATAGGCATAATTTTTTTCTTCGCGGGATAACACCAGTAGAGGTTCTACGGTGTTTTTAATTTTGTAGTATTTACATGTAGATTTTCGTTTTTTAAATAGGCCATTTAATTAATCGTTTTGTAAATAAATTGATAATTTGATTAAAATGTGGGCGGATACGATATTAATTGTTTTTATTTCAATATGCACCGCACTTCTTGGGGAAGGTGAGCTCCCGGCAGTTAATTTCACCCGTTTCAATGGATAACTTTGCTCGTTTTTCAGGATTGACCTGGCTGATGGTCTACAGGACGGAGAAATATCAAAAACTCAAATCCGAGGTCGAACGGCAGAGCAAGAGATGTAAGGAAATTCGCCTTTTTTTAACGTATTTATTTCTCTACATCCTGATATCGGTTTGGTCAACGATGATCCTGGTCTGCCGAGTCTTGCTATTTTATTCCGTCAGATGAGTTTCGGCATTTGGCAATCTAGTTTTTTGCTTAAATCCAAGTTGAACTGTGACCAACCAAACAGATGAGGATATCCATTCATTTATCTTTTGTTCATTCCTTCATTCATCAAAAGGATATGAATGACAAGCTGACCGACCAATACTGCCAAGTTGTCATGTTATGTCATAATTAATTAATTTTAAAATATTCTGGTAAGATCATTATTAATACACACCATAGGTGGATTGAAGTAGGAAGTTGGTGTCCGAGTGGATCACAGTCATGATAGCTCAAGTGGTAGAGCAGCGGCTTATTAAGCTGAAGGTCGTAGGTTCGAATCCTGCTCATATCACTAACTTTTTCATTTCAACCAATACCTTACATAAATGTGCAGTGATTAGTGGCCGTTAGCTAACGATTATTTGGATATCATGAGGTGCAGTCTGTGTGACGTAGGTTTTAGAAAAACATTTTCTGTATCGTGCCAACTTACAAAAGATTAATTAATTAAAATAAGTTATTTGGTCAATCGGACCACGGAATATAATGGATTATTAATATAGTTAAGACTGATCCCCGGAGGCATCAACCTCTCCTCCCAAATGGTTATTATTTAAATTTACCCTTTACCACCGGGATTCAAACCTCATAGCATCATTTAGTTGCATTACAATGTATCATTAGCAACGGGGAATTTTAATGTAAGGGTAACATCCTTCGATTATAATTATTTAATTAGAGGTTGCTGTCTTGGGATCAAGGTCATGATAGCTCGGTTTTTTTTTTTTGGGGGGGGGGCTCACAACACACATGAGAATTTGACGCCCCCACTGCCGGTACTCCTCCATCGAAGAAACTCATTTTTGTGGGGGCATCGGTGGCCACAACGGTTTAGGCGTTGACACAGCACCCATCACTGTAAGGTAAAGGTCTCGGGTTCGAATCCAGCGGACCTGGAGGGAGTTGGACCAAATTCAGGGTTGCTGAGATCTGATCCCACCCCAGACCTTCCATTGACGAGTTCCATGTAATTTTAGCAATTGTGGCTACTGGTCCCCTTAGGTATCAGAAAAATGTCCAGAGGTGGCGGTGGGAATCGAACCCATGACCCCGGGATCAACTAGCCCAGTGGTTAGAGCACCAGCCAAAGTCGTGGGCTCAAATCACACTAATATTTCTTCTCAACCGTCTTTGCATAAAAATTGGACATTCCACCAAATCAGAGACGACCATATTTAATATCAAAATTTCTAGTGATTTTAATGCTAATGTAAGAATTACAAATATTTCTTCTTTTTTTTTTTAGTGGAGAAGCGTAAAGAAGCTCATGGAGATTCATTGGATAAGCAGCATAAGAAGAAAATTGAACGGGAGAAGGAAAAACTGATGAACAATAACAGAGATTTGTCATTTGTCAAAATGAAATCTGTCTTTGCCATCGGTTTCGCTTTCACCGCCTTACTCAGCATGTTCAATAACATGTAAATAACGTTTAATTTTTTTTTAATGTTGTTTGTTCCTTTATGATAAGAATATATTTTTGTGCTAGATTCGATGGAAGGATTGTTGCGAGATTGCCGTTCATACCGATTTCATGGATCCAAGGACTATCTCATAGGAACTTGCCAGGAGATGACTATTCAGAATGCTCATTTCTATTTTTATACATTCTATGCACTATGTCGATCAGACAGGTTTGTGTATACTATTAAAAAACAGACTGTTACAATATATTGGTGAAATTTACAGAACATCCAAAAAATGTTGGGATTTGCACCTTCGAGGACAGCGAGCAAACAGTCAGGAGGGTTGTTTAGGCCACCTCCTCAACAGTTAAGATAGATTCACTCAGGCCACAGAAACAACAAATTTAAAACTTTCAAGCAATGTGTGATGCCTGTATATATAAAATAATTTATTTAAATAAGAAGTTTTAATACAAACATTTGTTTTATATTTATTTTCATTTACACACGTCTATGTACACGATATTAAAAATAAGTTGAATGTTAAACTATGTTGCTTTCCCACAATGGTTGATCTTGTAATAATCTGCTGTATTCTAAACGGCTTAGATCTATTGTCATATATCCACCGTCAATAATCATCTCCATTATGGATCTTCCAATCGCCGGTGACTGTTGAATCCCTACATTAAAATTTATTGTAAATACTTGTTGAACTGTAAGATTTTCAATTAAAAGATAAATACCATGACCGCTGAATCCAGTAGCTAAGTAAACATTGAAAGCATAGGGATGAGGTCCGACAAAACAATTTTCATCAAATTTATTATAGTCATAGAAGCCCGCCCAACCGGATTTGAGCTAAGAATAATGTAGGTTACATTTAAAAATTACAATTAGGTTACATCTACTAACCTTACAACCCTCAAAACAAGGGACTCTGTTAGCAATAGCTGGCCACACTCTGTTTTCAAAAAAATCAAAATCTACATCTAGATTATCTACAGGAGGTTCTGGGTCTCCGATAGACGGGGACATTCCACACAGATAATGACCTGCCAGCCCTTCTCGCCTGAAAATAATTTTTTTTTAATCTTGAACTTTACCTGACATCTTAAAAAATCTCACCTGACGTATGCTCCTGAATTGTCAATCACAAAAGGCATTACCATCCCAGGTGCTTCTGGACAGTGGACATTATAAACATAACGTTTTCTGAAATATAGAATTAATCAGCAAACATAACCTTTGAAAATTATATGAAAAAAAGGAACCTTGGTTCGACCGGGAGATTTAAGTCTACCCTCAATGGCCTTTCTGCTAATTGTGCAACATGTCCAGAATTTGCACCAGCAGCTATAACAAGGATACTAAAACTTATTTCTTTCTCTTCTCCATTTTCAGTTAAAATCTGCAAAATCCACTCAGTTGAGATACGAGTTTTTCAATTTATTTTTAAATCTGAATTACTTTAACACTTTTAAGCTGCTTGTGTGTATCTTCATCACTGGGAACAACATCAGAATTATTCAAGGCTTCAAAACTAATAACTTCTCCAGAAACGAAATGTGTTCCTAAACTTTTTGCTTTTCTTTTAAATGCATTGAGAAGAGACCAAGGATCAAACCTGTAACATTGAATATTGCAATTAAACTAAACAATTTCCCATAAAAGCAATACATTTTACCATCCTTCATTTTCTAAGCCATGGCAACCCAATCCGATACCATCAGTGTTTATAAAAGGGAATTTACGCTTGAGATTTTCTGGTGTCAACAATTCTATTTTAGCTCCCAATGACCTAAAATTGTAAAATAGAAAGTGAAACAAACTAATTTTGAACACTCATCCAATAAAGGGCTTACTTTTGAAGTGTGGCATTTTGATTCAAAACTTCAGCATGTTCTTCAGATGCCAAAAATAAGTAGCCGCAAGGGTTGAACTGGATATCAGGAGGATCCTGGCCGTTGACGCCCAGATAATATTTAATATTCCTCATGAACTCAGCAGAAAACATTGACAGTTCAATGTTTTCTTTTAAAGAAAATTGCTGCCTCAGACCACCGACTGAAAGCACGGATGTGCTTTTCTGGTACTAGACCGTATTAAAACAAACGGAATAATATTACATTTGATTGTTTTGGATGTTTATCAACCTAGAGCAAATTAAGTTTGGATGCCAAGCATATAATGCATATAAATGTAAATAGGCCCTGATGATTGTGGATCTCATCTCCCAAACTAAATTACATTTGAGATAATTTTTTTAAAATTATTTTTTCAGGTTTGCAGCATTCATCACTGTTAAACACAACTTTAAATTACATTAAAAATTGTTAAACTTAAATATTTAATAGCATTGTAATTCAACAAAGCACCTAGGGTTTTCTTTCATATAAGTCGAACCAATATCTGATGAGCGTCATTGAATTCAGATCATCATGGGGGGGAAGGAAATGCCATGGAAAGGGAAAAATACGTATAGTGCAATAATAAAAGTGTTCCTCCACATTTAGTTAAATTTTACTTAAAACCAACTTTTTTACACTTTTCTTTTTAATGGGGGTTTGCAACAGTGGAACTGACTTCTGAGTTCCTTATCGAAGATGGCACAAAGCAATATATCCAAGTTTTTTACAGTTCTAACTGCGATGGTTTCAAACCGTGCCATGATTGTAACTAAAATCAAACCTGAAGAGGACTCTCTCGAGCAAATGAGCACTTAAAATTGTAAAAAACGTGTTTTTGAAAAATAAAATATAATTAATTGTCCATTAAAATAATAAAATAATACCTCAACATTTAGTTTTTTACTCAAAACCTACTTTTTGCATTTTTTTAATGGGTTCGCAACAGGAGAGTTCCTCACTGAAGATGGCACAAAGCAATATATCAAAGTTTTTTTGCAGTTCTAACTATGATAGTTTCAAGCCTTGCCACGATTTGAACCAAGTTTAAACATGAAGAGGTCTTTCTTCAGAAAATGATCACAGAATTGTAAAAAACTGGTGTTTTTGAAAAATAAAAAATCCTCTGAAGATGGCACAAAGCAACATATCAAAGTTTATTGCTGTACTACCTACGATCATTTCACACCATGCCATGATTGTAACTAAAATCAAACCTGAAGAGGACTCTCTCGAGCAAATGGGCACTTAAAATTGTAAAAAACGTGTTTTTGAAAAATAAAATTTAGTTGTCCATTAAAATAATAAAATAATACCTCAACATTTAGTTTTTTACTCAAAACCTACTTTTGCATTTTTTTTAAAATGGGATTCGCAACAGGAGAGTTCCTCACTGAAGATGGCACAAAGCAACATATCAAAGTTTTTGACCAGTTCTAACTATGTTAATTTCAAGCCATGCCACGATTTGAACCAAGTTTAAACATGAAGAGGACTTTCTTCAGTAAATGATTACAGAATTGTAAAAAATTGGTGTTTTCGAAAAATAAAAAGTCCTCATTGAGGATGGCTCAAAGCAACATATCAAAGTTTTTTTGCAGTTCTAACTATGATATTTTCAAACCATGCCACCCTTTGAACCAAGTTTAAACCTCAAGCAAATGATCACACTTAGAATAGTAAAAACCTGGTATTTTTGAAAAATAAAAAAATCCTCTGAAGATGGCACAAAGCAACATATCAAAGTTTATTGCTTACTACGATCATTTCGCACCATGCCATGATTTAAACTGTGCAGAAACCTGAAGACGACTCTTTCGAGCAAATGATCACGCTTAGAATTGTAAAAACTGTTGTTTTTGAAAAATAAAATATAGTTGTCCATTAAAATAATAAAATACCTCAACATTTAGTTTTTTACTCAAAACCTACTTTTGAATTTTTTTTAAATGGGGTTCGCAACAGGAGAGTTCCTCACTGAAGATGGCACAAAGCAACATTTCAAAGTTTTTGACCAGTTCTAACTATGTTAGTTTCAAGCCATGCCACGCTTTCAACCAAGTTTAAACCTGAAGAGGACTTTCTCAAGCAAATGATCACACTTAGAATAATAAAAACCTGGTATTTTTGAAAAATAAAAAATCCTCACTGAAGATGACAAAGCAATATATCACAGTTTATTACTGTACCACCTATGATCATTTCACACCATGCTATGATTTGAACTACATAGAAACCTGAAGAGGAATCTCTCAAGGAAACAGTACTAGTTAGAATTGTAAAACCGGTGATACGCTTTTGAAAAATAAAATATAGTTGTACGGTGATATAATAATACCTCTACATTTAGTTGTTTTATTGAAAGCTTATGTTTCACTTCACAACAGAAGAACAGACAACTGACATGAGTACCCCACTGGAGATGACACAAAGAAGAAATTCTAGAAATAGCTGGACTCTATAAGTGACCTAGTCCACCGTCAATTTCAACATGTGTTTATCAACTCCGAGATGAACACCCGCCCCATTAGAATTTAAATTTATTAGAATGTATAATGTTAACAATATTTGGCTTAGAAACTGCTGCCAAATCTTATTAAATAATAAAATATTGAAAAAAATCATTCCAAAAAAAATCGCTGGTTTTGTCATGATTTTGTAACAGAGTGTCTATACATCTTGTAGTTGGAAAGGAAGCAAGGGCATCTGGACACAACATCTGGGTCAGATCCCACATGCACCTCACCATTATGAGGTAAGAGACGGATATTTAAGTGTTACTTATGAGTGTTAAATTACTAAACAATTTTTTTAAACTATAAATTATTGTAAATAGGTACCTCAAGTATTTTAGAGTAATTGTTTGTAAAATCAGTTACCGTCGGGTCTTTTTCGATGACAACTATATCCAGGCCATCCAATGCTCTTTGCTGGAGCCAGTAAGCTATCGAGCAGCCCATAACGCCTCCTCCAATAATAAGAATGTCACAAAAGTGGGGAATCCGTGGTTGTTTCGGTTTGTTTTCTGTATTTAACAAATAGTGTTTCAGATGGTCAAAATCATGTTTGAACACGTCTACAGTTTTTTTATATGGGGTGTCGTCATCCTTGTTAGACGAGTAGTTTCTCTGCAGAGGCAGGAGCGAGTTCCTCAGCTTCAAACTTTTCTTCAAAGGCCTGAAGAGTTTGATGCTGCTCATTTTGGGCCAAGGGTGGTCACTGGAGGAGCGTTATGGGATTCTCCGGTAGATACAAATTTATTGGATGACCTAGAATTTGATGGGAAGATAAGACATTTTTTTAAATACAATATAGTTTTGATAAGGATTAGGTAATCGACCCGAATTGACGGTATTTAGGATATCACAAAAAACCTCTCTGGTTTTTTTTAAAAACCTGGAACGTTGAAACTTCTTCAGCCCCTTGTCGTCTCATGATAGCTTACGTCATGAACAAATCTGAAGAACATTTTTAATCAAAATTAAATTTAATTAGTTAAATCACGTCTAACCAAAAAGTTTTCCAATGTAAAACAATCCGACAAATTAAATTAAACTCAACACTTCACTGTGTTGCATTGTTTGAAATATGTATGGTATACCATATCGTGTTGCTGGCATATCCATAAGGTGTTACTGGCAACAAAGCGTTACAATTTACAGATAATGATAAATCACATTCATCAAAATTAAAAGTATTGAAGTCGTTTCACGATCCACGATTTGTTAAGGAGCACAAACAGGGTTTCAAACAATTTGAGGGAATTGGTACATAAATTTCAGTGTCATTTTATAAAGAGGTTACTGAATTTACCAAAATGTACACCATATTAAAAGTCTAATGTACATTTAGGATCCACTAGAAATATTTAAGGAATGCAATTAAATTAGCAGGTTACAGGTTTCCCTATACGCTACTTTAAATTCCACATCAAAATTGTTTCTAGTCATAGTTACATATTTTTATAACCGCTTATATTTGTGTTTTTATATATTTACTTATTACCTATATTTTAATTTTATTTTGAGTTTTTTGTGGGACTGCAGTTGCCGAGTGATAGACTCTTTGCTTGTCAACCCCGTGGGGTTCAATCCCCCCCCCCCATAGCCTTTTAAGTCTGTGTTTGTAATAAATAAATGGTAAATTAATTACTCAATAAATTATTAAACAAAGCAATATTGACAAGTGGCCAAAAGCGTTTAATTTACTAAATTTAAAACTAGTGTAAATGTTTAAACAAATTTAAAATTAAAGCAACAAATTTTACCAGAATTAATAAAGAAATGAATTTGGATATGAAAAGTAAAAACTACAAGACTGACCAGTACTATATTAATTATTGCAATTGACTTTTTTTAAAGCTAGGTGTGATTTACTCTATTTAAACAAGAGTTTTCTCAGAGATCCCATGTGTCATCTCTGTGCTCTATGTAACATGAAACATTTTTTGGGAGTCCTATTATAAATGAATTTCACATGCTTATTTGAGAAAAACCAGATTGCCCAGAGATGATTTAATCACCGATCATTTTGGTCTTCCTATCCTCTGGTTTATCTGTCAAATTCGCTTCGCATTTCGCCATCTTCAGTGTGTCTGTCACATGAAACACGTTTGGCAGACCATCCCAGAGGAGATAGGCAGATCAAAATTATTGGTAATGACCAAATCAATAAAAACACTTAAAAATTTTTTTTTTAATTTCTAGAAACATCATGACAAATTTTCTTGTTGTACAAAAAGAATATATTTTTAGCTTTAAAATATTACTTCTAGTCCATTATTGCAGAATTATACTGGGGCAATTGCATTTTCAAGTAGTCTTAAAAATGTTGTTAATTCTGTCTATTGTCTCAAGATTAGAGCAAATACTTTGAAAACTTCATTAAATAACATTTTAATTGTCTTTAACTTCTTTAGTCCTTATCTATTACATAATTTGAGATAAATCAATGATAGGGTAAACATTTAATTTTTTAAAACATTTTATAGCACTTTTTATGTACAATAATTATCGTTAAAACAATAGGCAAAAGAGATATCTATATAGAATACAATCTTAAAACATAGCATGATTTTTTTTTTTAAACCCAAAATCTATTTTGTCCCATATCTAATTGAATAATCGCTCCTAATTGAATTTTTTTTGAGATGGTGGAAGCCATAGAAAGTTTGTGTAAATCTTATAACACTGTCATGAACTACAAATCACATCAAACTCAACCTCGTGAATGACTATTTGAAATATTCAGTATTTAAGGTCATTAGAAAAAAAATTCAATTAACTAATTATTTATAATTTTGATGTGAGGTATGATGTACGTAGTATAGATGTGTTTGTTCAGTATTATATTTTTCAGAAGAGAATGTATCAAAATATGGAAGATATACTTTGTAATATTTGTAAGCAGCAATATGATGAGCCTAGGCTGTTAACCTGTTTTCACTCTTTCTGTACCAAATGCCTGATCCCGAGGAAGATTAATTCTGCTAACTGCTGTAAATAATAAATTTTAGCATAACTATTAGTTTGCAAGGTTGAAAGACCTGAGAACTCTGCCCAAAAATGATAATACTGTTTTATTTTTAAAACTTTTATGTTTGTGATTTTTTTTCAGCACGTCAGGCGTCACTTCAAGACGATTCAAATACACATTTTCATTCAGATTTATCCAATTATGAACCTGAAAGTGAAATAAGATCTGTGAATGATTCCAACAGGCAAAATGAATCGGTATTTTATTGTCAACACATTTATTTTTATAGCGGTTTCAATGCATTTGTTTTACAGAAAGTGATATGCCCAATTTGTGGCACAGAGACAAATTTGCTAAAATGCGGAGTGCTTGGTCTACCAATCAACACTGTGATTGAAAATAAAATAAAAGAAAGGCAAAATAAATTACCGCATTGTGAACTCTGCACCTCTACAGCATTTGTAAACTTCTAAAGCATTACTTTTATTCTTTAAATGTGATTTTTTTTTGCCTTAGGCATTTGCAAGATGTGAACAGTGCGATATATTCATGTGTGCTCTGTGTGTTGATTCTCATTTAAAGTTCTGGGATACTTCCCACCACAGGATAATCCATTTGAACGCTGTCAAACCATCGCATCCTACATACAAAGTAATATATAAACAGTATTATTTTTTGAACGCCAAGTTTATCAAAGTATATTCCAGTGTAAAGCCCATCCCCAACAGGAGTTGAATTATTTTTGTGGAACCTGTGCCAAACTGATGTGCTTTGTTTGTTGCACTTCGTCACACTCCAGTCATAAATATGAAACTGTTGCAAAAGCTGCGGACAATTATTCTTCTCTGATAAGACAGGCATTAGAAACTGTCAAGGTGATAATTAAGAACAGTAATCATTCTTTGGATGCTATCAAAGGTCTTGAAGTTAAGATAATGGTAATTTAGGGCTATTCATATTTTAAGCATATTTGACATTAATTGAATTTGTAATTCAGAGTAAATGCAATGATGTGGAACGGGAAATAAAAGGTTTCATTCAAGCTTACAAAGAGGTTTTGGATGAGCATGCACAAAGTTTACTTCAGCAACTTACCTCTGTATAGGACATTATTATTAAGTAAATATTTCTTTAGAGCCTTGTAGCACTGACAAAACATTTTTATTTCTTTAAAGATTAAAGACAGCAGGAAACAACTTTTAATAAGTCACAAAGAATTGCTTGACCGAAAGGTGAGAAGTATGCAACCTGCAATCGAATTTGCAGAAGAACTAATAAAATCCACACCTGTTGAGGTACGTAAAATATTAATTACATTTGCCTTAAATACATTTAAACTAAATAAAAAATACATTCCAGCTTTTGAATACTGCCACCCACGTACTCAGCAAACTGGATATTAATGACGAGTCAGACTTACAAGTTCTCACTATGAGAGTGTCGGATGTAGTTCAATTTTTGCCAGAGGAAAAAGCAACCAACATTGGAAAATACCAACTGTTTGGCATCATTTCAACCCAAGTCATATCCCCTCAGCATTGCACTTTAGAAGCTGATGGTAAATACATATTGCAAAATCATCAATAAAAATTGTTAATAGTTCAATATAATTTAACTTCTAAGGCTTATTAAGATGCAGGCAGCATAAAAAAGCGACTTTCAAATTATTGACTAAAGATAATGATAATAAACCATTGTGTCACGGAGGGGAAAAAATAATTTCTACATTACAGTATAAAGATGAAATGCAAAGGTATTTAAAGGATTACAACAATGGAAACAATTAAAATAACATTGATATTTGAAATTCTTCCTAAAAACAAAATTTCCTTTTTTCTTCAATTTATTATTATTAGATTATTGCCTGTATTTGTAAATGACGAAGGTGATGGAAGTTATACGCTCTCATTTAAAGCTGATACACCAGGAAATCTTACATTAACTGTTTTAATAAGAAACATACATATTCAGGTAAAAAATTTATAACTTAAGTCTATATATATTTTCCAATGTTGGTATTTATTCAATTCACTAGTTTTTGTGGTCCGCTTGACCAATTAATATCTTTCAGTTGGTATTTATTTTTTTAGCTATAAAAAATATTTTTTATGATGACAAAATATGGTATATCCACAAAGATTGAAAAGTTTGTTTCAGGGGAGTCCATTCAATGTGTGCGTATGCAGTCTGCGACCTCATAAAGGTGTTTATCATTGCTGTGCATTCTGCTCAAGCAGAGGCAGTAAATCGGCCAAATGTGCTTGTGGCTGTAAGATGCCAGGTAATAAATAAAATTAGTCACCTCCAATGTTTATGTACAAATTAGATGTACTTTTTATTATGTGTTATAATTGTTTAATAATCAGAAAATAAAATTGTAACAACGTACAATAATGAAACAGTGAAATGAAATCAAACACTAAATTTCTGACTAGACAAAATTAATTAGATAATAACTAACTATTTGATTCACTTTGTTCTATTTATGCAGGTGGGTATGAAGGTTGTGGTCATGGGCACATAGGCCATCCTGGTAGAAGGCATTGGTCCTGTTGTGGTAACCTTCTTCAGAATTCTGAATGCAGTCGACCAATAACATACCAATTCTAAATACTGTGAAATTTGGCAAAAATAAATGTTCTTTAATTGCATTACACTATTTAATTGAATAACATTTACATAAAATGTTTGAAATTCCTAAAAATATATATGCTTTAAATATTTATAAAACAAAAAATAAAATGGCTTTATTTTTTATTTGGCAGAGAACGTTTGACTTCAAAGTACAAATGAAAGGCAAGACACATTTATAGTACAGAACTGCTACCTTTTCTTTTGAGGGAACTTCTTCATTATATTACATTTCATAGCATCACTTCTTTCTTTTAAAGTGTCTCTTCTATCCTTTATCATCTTTTGAAGCTCTGCTTTTTTGGGCATGGGCTTGATATATCCGTACTTTGTTAAGTAATTAATAGCCACCGTAGTTCCACCTGAATATTGCAATGATCATCAAATTTCATCTGATTCTGGAAAACATATGGCACTTACCTAATGTTACTGTGTAACGGAGAGGAGTAAAGATTTTGTACAAAGCATAGGAAATAGCTATGTATCCAGCAGTGGAGTTCCCTCCAGATCTGAGCTTTTCAACAATCGAATCACTGAAGTGCAGCATTTCTGCCAATGAGACAAGATCCACTCCGCTGAAAGATTACAAGTTGAAAATAAAAATTCAAGAAATGCATATTAATACTCAAAATATAACCTTTTTGCACAGTAGTAAAAACCGCCAAACCAACCAGCAGACGTGATGAGATGAACTGGTACGAGAACATACCAATATTTCTTGTACATCTGCTTGAACCTTTGAAAAAGGCCAAGCTTAGCTGGTTCTTCCTCTAACTTTGGAGGCACATCATTTGTTTTGTTTCGGGAAGACCCTTCTTTCACAAATTTAGTTTGATAAGTTGTTCGAAGGTCTCTAGTGGATATTGTGAAAGGATATTTTGTTTGGAATAAAAATAATTTCTCAGTTTGTAGATCATATTGGTTAGTATTAAAGTAGTCATTCTTTTGAGTAAAGAGCTGAAAAGCTAAAGAAAAAAGAAAAAAAAATCTTATTTTGTTTGTTAAAAATGTATTAGTGAAAAATTAACATGTACATAATAGAACCAATGCTAATAAACCATGACCACAATTGCTACTGTAACCACAAATATTTAATAATAACAAAAAGAAAGTATTAATTATACAAATTGCAGCAGGTTGTTCCTCTAGTATTCTCTGAGAAATAAAATTGTGTACAAAACCTTACCAATAAATATAATCTCACTTGTAAATGCTCTCTTTGCACACTGAAACACTGGTATTTAAATTTGATTTTTTTTGTCTGTTTTTAATGTGATTTTGTACAAACTGTATGACATATTGATTTCTATTTTTGTTTGCATTACATACATGTACCAACAACTATTTTGTGAGTTTTAGTAGTAGCCTGCAAAATATGTTTAATAGTTGCAGTATTGATGTGTAGGTGTTCCATTCCTGACCAAAGCCAATTAATAAAACACAAGCAGGTTATATGAACTATAATTATTGTTTTGACTTCAAAACTGTAATTAACTATAATTCAACTGGCTTTAGTTAAAACAACCTTTCACCCGCACCTTTTTTTTTCTATTGTTAAAAAGCTGGATGATTACATATTAAATAACTTTTTTTTCGTGAGTGAATAGTACGTAAATAGGATTGTTTAGTAGAATGAATGAGAATGTGAATGTGTCTAGCTTTAAAAACTGCATGCAGGGGACCTGAAATGTTGACAGCTAACTTTGGTGACAGAACGGATAAGCCAAGGGGTTTGACATCAAAGTAGGTGATTTTTGCAGCTTGCCTCAATAAGTCATATGCTCAATTCTGTATAAATATCTATGTGTACATTTATGCACAGAGTTTAGCTTATATAAATCAATGTTCAAATGTATGAATATAGTCTCATAAATTTGCTACGAAAAATGTTAATAATTTATTTAATCATATTTTCATATTAAATTAAAAATGTCACTTAAGAGCAAAAAGTGAGTCTTTGTTAAAATGTTAACATTTGCAAATTCTGAGGAAAGACAGTCTATAATTAAGTACTGAAAATATCTTTTTGACGCAAGTATGTATATCCAATCTACTTATCAATAGTGAAATAAAGAGTAAGCATTTGCATCATCATTATCATGATTTGTTTAATTTTATTTTAAGTTTTCAAATCTTTAGAGATTAGTAGAACAGTCCATACACAGTGGCAATGTGGAACATATGAATGATGGATATCTACCAATTGTTTAGATTTTTATGAATTTTTTAAAAATTTAGTAAGACTTTACATCATCATCTTGGTAAAAATTTGATCTTTATAGATTTAATTTAAAGTGCATATCAGCATAGACTAGTAGTACGTTTTGTATACATCCACATATGTTCATAAGTCATAATTGACTATATTAATTATTTAAATTAATTATACTATTTATCTAAGGTCTTGGTTGAGATGAAAAAGTTAATGTCAGGAGTGGGATTCAAACCCATGACCTTTGGGGCTTTAGCCGACTAACTTTTTCATCTCACCCAGGAACTTAGGTAAATAGTATAATTAACTAAATTTTGTATACAGTAATAAATGGCGATGTGGGACATATGAATATTGGATGAAATATATCTACAATTTTTTAGATTTTATAAGATTATTTTTGTAAGGTTTTTAATGGGTCATTCAGGTAGATTTATTGATTTTTATAGATTTAATTTGATTTTAAGTGCACATCAGTAGAGACTAGTAGTACAATCTGTATACAGTAATAATGGTGATGTGGCCCATATGAATGCTGGATGTCTATTTCTCAGATTTCATTTTATTTTTAAGGTATTCACTAGAAAAAGTGTGCTCAAATGAATTTTTGTGAGATTTCTTCATGTTGTCTATAGGTTGATGAACTTGAATTGATCGTTACTAATCATTTTGGTCTGCCTATCTTCGCTGGGTGTCTCAGACAATGTGTCAACAGCCTTTCAACATTTCCCCTTCTTTAATGAGACAGCATTTAACAGACTAAGCTAGTGAGGATGGGCAGACTGGTAATGACAAATTTTCAAAGGAGTTTGCAGTAACTATTTTGCAAAGTAACTGTTTGTACGAAAGGCTGCATACTTTGCGTACACTAGTTAATTGTGCTTCATGAAGAAATTACCTATCAAACTGATATGTTTAAAAAAAAGTTTTAATCGCAGAACAATTCTTAAGCTAAAAATTGGCAGAGTTTGAACTGCAGCTTTTTTTTTTTTGATAGGTACTTACTAATACTTGTTGACGTTTATTTATTTTACATAATGAAGAGATTTTATCTTTGATATTTAGAATGTTATATTAAGTATGAAATCACTTGCCTGTATGCGATATCGGGAGGTGACTTGAACGCTGAAGCTGCCAACAGCAAGTTTTGTAGCTTTTCAGCAGTGTGAACACGTTCTTGTACATGTCTGGCAGTTGTGTCGGGGTTTTTCGTGGTAAATAGCATCCAGATAATTTTTGTTCTTGAAGCCAATCGACGAAAACTCTCGAAACGGCCGGTTTTTATCATTTTCCGAATCACTTTACCATCTCGGGCTTCTTATTTTTTCGTGTGTGGGGAGGTTTCAGGTTTAAACGACGCATTTTAGACTTGAGCGCCTTAGACGAAGTTCATCCACTGTTATCATTACGCGCGTGACTCATCGTTTGAGTTTGGTTAATTTCTTAACGAAATCATTCACTACTTTTCACTTATTAACAACAGTTTTCAAACGATGATGAAGATGGATACTAGGAAACGGTTTGTGCTCCTCAGGCACTGCAGCTTTCTGGCTAGTGTACCTTCCTAGTGTAGCACAATCGACTCAGAAATATTAGATCATTGACTGCCGCTCCTACAATTTCATTCCCTGTTTTTTATTCTCATTCTAGGTTATGTCTGCTATCTTCCTCCTCATTGCATAGTCGGTAAATGGGATCATCGTTCCTCTGAAACCGGGCCTACTAATCAATGACTTGACTATAGCTCTTAAAGGGCGCGGTATATAACACCCCGACTAATACAACTACATCATCACTGAATATGTTCACGTTATGTAGATATTTTCTCAGGTGTCAGTGGCCGGTTAATAGACTTATCTCACTCCTATGAGTCTGGCCGTCTCCAATTTTGGCAGCGAGTTTGCCAGTCTTGGTGAGGGTTGTTTTAGCGTAAGTATACTCTGCCTAACTGTCCCTAGAATATTATTCATTCTACAATGGAGGATTCTGTACTTGCTTTTGTTATCCCAAGCACAGGTTCAAGGCCTATATACGGTCATGCAGATCCTTCTCTGGCCAGTGTGTCTGCTTTTTCGTTATCCAAAATTCCTTTGAATCCTGACACACAAGATACCATCACGTTGTTATGTTTCCCCAGATATGAAGATTTTTTATGCATTCCCTAATTTTGATGATTTTGCTACATACTAATGCTGTTATAGTTTCTGGACTATCCGATCTTACGAGGATTTTTTTCCAGTGTAACTGCTTTAAGATTTTCTAGGGCACAAACACTGATGGCATGTATTTACCGTTCCGGTTCCTTCGTTACTCTGTGTCAAACATGGGGGCCGGTGTTGGGTACACCCGATGTGTCCAGTTCTAATTTTTTGTACACGTAATTGCTGCTTTGCTGTAGAATTTAAAATATGAACAGAATCCATCACCATTAAGTATGTCACTGTTAAGTAGGTCCTCCCTAATCCTCAATATCTGCGAGCACATTTCGAGCATAATGTGGTTCCAGAACTATAATATGGTAATAGTTATAGCTGCAATACCACAATAACTATGGCACCGCCAGGGAATACAGACATAAGAACGTTCTTCTACAAAATCATATTTATTTATTTAGGGATTTCTAGGCTATTATTTTTAAAAGAATTTGAGCCCTGTTCTATTTGTTATTTGTACGGTATGGTATCATTGGCAATTTATCGCTTTTTCATGGCCGCATGTCATAAATTACTCTTTTCCGTAAGCGCTTTGAAAATGTTATAATTTTACTTTAAAAAATCTTTGTTTCGGTTAAAACTCAGGGAAATAGTTATTTTAATAGTTTCGCATTTTTTAAATGATCTTGTTTTAATATTGGTTTATTTATTTTTTATTTACTTTATTTATTATTTAATATTGATTTATTTATTATTTAATATTGATTTATTTATTATTTACTATCTTGAAATCTGTGAGGCTCCTTTGGATGACTTCCGATACGGTAAAATTTCCATGTTGTCTATCGAAATATGCACTATTTATACAAAGGTAAAAGAAAATTTGTAATTAAAGTTCATTGTTAGTTTTAATTATTAATAATAAAATGGGAGGAAAAAGCAGTTGTAATTGCACCAACCGCGAACAAACTACGCCCACAGCCCGGGCGGTGTGCTTTTCAATAATCGTAAAACCTTCTAGATATTCGTAAAATAATTTTTTAAAACATTTTAAAGATAAATAATCATATTTGTCACTATGAAAGGGGGTTAAGAGAATTTCAAAATTTTAATAATAAAAATAAATATTTTTTTAACGAGTAGAGAAATGATTTATATACGGTATCGATGAATTTCAGATATCAATTTTTCCACTTGTTTCTATAGAACATTAAACATTCTGGAAAGGGAATGTTATGGACCTGCTGATGTAAGAGGTCGTCCACTACCAAAGTCCTTAAGGTTGGTGATTTTACTTCTACTTGGGGGGAGCATCTCATTGGCTGTATTGTATGCTTTTTGTTTCTAAGTTCTAGTTTTGTTTTTCGGCTAATTAGCATGGTGTGTGTCCATAGTACATATAGTCGTTGGTTCTATTCCTTTATTCGTAGCCGCAGTTTGGAACAATTCATATGAGGTGATGTTGATTGCTCCTTCTATATCGATGAAGCCACCACATAGGACAATTTCTTGATTATATATTTAGTTTTCTAATTTCTGCATAATATTATGAAGGACACTTTCCTAAGCAAATTGTTGCTGTTGGAGCGGTGTTTTCCAAGCGGACGCTCTTGATGTGCAGATCAATGATTTTCTTCAAAGTTTTCAGGAGAAAGGAATTAACTGATTCATATGAGCTCAAATCTGCATCCATGTACATTCATACGTGAACAGAGTTGAGTTTATCACTTTTCGCAGTCCACCGGCAATTTCAGTTTTTGTAATTTAAAATAAATAACCGGTAGGCCTCGAGAATCACCCACTCCGGGTTTGACAGTCCGGGGTTACCTCGGTCTCAACCTTGCAGCCACTGAAGTTGGGCTCCTGGGGATATCAACAGGTAGGTAATTTCAGCTCCCAACCAATCAATCTACGGTGTCTAACTCTTTCACAATGACACTCTTTCAAAAACGTTCTTTCTTATTTGCACGACATTCACTCATTTAGGGGGGTGGTGAAATATTTCATATTCTTCTATCACCACACATGTTATATAATTAATCTAATTGATGATCGATGGGTACTCAATACTCCGCCATCGGACCTCTCTCTATACACATTCACGGTAATAAATACATTCAGTTTCAATACACACAAAGCTATCAAGACGATATCTACAAAGTACTATATGATGTAAAACAATCCAGTTTCTTCCAAAAAGCAAAACAGGAACCTAAATACTCTCTATATAGAGCCAAGAAGTGGCACCCTTCAATTAGATGGGACACATGGAGCAACCTTTCTCAACATGCCGCACACATACACGAGGGGGATTTGGCCCAAAAGTGACCTCGCGGGCCTATCCTTAATCATGTGAGGATGACTCTTCTACGAGTCAGGTCTAAGCTTGTTTATGTTCTAACCGCTTAAATAGTATTGACGTAGAATCGACGGGTAACCTACTAGAACAATTTACCCCCAATGTGTACCAAAACTGCTACTAGACCTAGTCAGATTCAGTATAACTGGCACCATCGTTTACACCTACAGAAATAATGTTCTTAAAGCTTAAAAGATCTGAAAACCAACTCATTTTTGATATCCACAGACTGCTCCTAATCGTCGATAAGGCTGCATTATCCGCAATGTAAATAAAATAAAAGGTTTGCCTTTTCCGAATATAATTTTCCTTCGTAATTTCAGGATTTTCCTGCCGTTCCCGTCAGGTGTTTTAAACGGTGTGTGTTTTAAAAAAGTGTGTAAATTTGTTTCGTGAATGTTAAGCCGTGTCGATTTATCTTATTGTTGCCTTCAGAGGTTAAATATTAAAAGTGTACGCCTTCTAGAAGTGAATTTAGTGAAAATGTTATAACTTAGACGGACTGTTAGATTTTTCAGCCAGACACAGTTTTTTACAAAGTACCCACATTGCGACATCCTTCTATTGCCTTTGTTTCTATTATTTATTTCACATTAAATAACGTTTAAATCAATAATTATAAGAATGATGAAATTACAAGATTACAATGAATGTGTGATGATTAGTGACCGTTAATCGATAATTATTCAGAAATCGTGAGATGCGGTTTCAGAAAAACTTTTCTTTATCGTGTCAACGTTTCGATCTTTAATGAGATCATCTTCAGGGCTTCTGGGCAGAGTGCCCTCTCAACACGACACGCAAGAATGGCACAATTACACAGAAGACAACTTTGAGCCCTGAAGATGATCTCAATAAAGATCGAAACGTTGGCACGATAAAGAAAATGTTTTTCTGAAACCTATATCACACCAGACCGCATCTCACGATTTCTGAGTAATTACAATGAATGTAGATTTTTATTAGGGTATTTATTATAAATTATTATGTAGTGTATAAACGTTTCTTATTACACCAATAAACTAATTAGACTAGCCTTTAGGTAAAGATACCATTCAGCTATTGCCACATTTTAGCAATATCTTTTTAAACCTGCCATGGTTTCTTTTTTCGCTCAATCTGTTTTCATTTATTTATTATCGTATTGTTTATTGTTAATTTATAACATATTCTAATCAATTCGAGATTTCATATGAATATTGAAAGGCTTGGTTAAACTTGGTTACGGATGGTTAGGGACTCGACCGGTTAAGAGTTCTGTAAAAGTTAAGACCTAGGTATGGGACATAATCAGAGAAGAATCGGCTTATTTCATACAAGGGGGTTCTGAAGGGTCTTTTCTTTTTCACAAAACATTGATTTGAAATACTAAAACAGTTCGAAATAAGCCAGAGAAAAATAAATAATAGCTAACATGAAATAAAAGGGGTGTTTTTATCGGGTTGTCCGGAAAATAATGCAGGATTTTGGTATTAAACAAAAAAAAAGAAACTAGTTACTTTAAAGCAATGTTCTTTAATCAAAATAANATGAGTAATCCTGTAAACGTAAACAGAATATTTTATATAGATTTTTTTTAATGAAAACTTAAAATCCTGCATTATTTTCCGGACAACCCAATATTTTTCCTGAAAATTGCAAGATAGTCCACATGAAGCTTGGTGTTAACACTATGTATGTGCATATATTGAAAAACGTCATTTAGGAGCCCGTTTTGTACTTATTTAGAGGTCTCTACATTTCACTCAACAATTACTACATTCAAGAAATGTGTAGTGTAGAAAGTACGATAATAAGTTTGCCCATGTCTTATTCGGGTTGTCCATATTCAACCCTGCCCACCCTATTTTTTACTAATTTACCATCCTTTTA